CGGTGTGATCATGGGCTTGCCAATTTTTAATTTAAGGTTTTTCTGCCATGCGGTGGCACTGTGCAATATTACGGTAAACTGCTCGTCCCAAGAAGAACTGGCTGCAGGTCATGGCTAAACAGAAATTACCGTTTGGACATCTGTCGTATCTTGTCATATCTTGCACATGTTTCATGAGCACATCTTCGGCTGGTCACTCTATAGAACTGGGAAGTACAGTTGCACGGAGGTACACTCAAACCTTGATACAACTCTGTAGAACTGGGAAGTACAGTTGCACGGAGGAACAGTCAAACCTCGATACAAAGAATTGGGATATAACGATTCATTGGTTGCAATGAAGTAAGTGACCAATAAATTTGTCATTCAACTGTGTTACAAATAATTGTTTATAAGGAATTTTTGGATATAATGAAGTATTTTGGTAGCAAACATGACTTCGTTATAATGAGGTCTGAGTGTATTTGGATTGTTAAAAATGTGCAGTCCTAATTTGGCCTCTCATTTAAGTATTTTGCATCGATTGAGCGCTCTGACATTATTGTCGAAATTTTCTGAATGTCCTTCAGTTAAAAGCAGCTGTGAGGTCTGTTTGTTGCTTTACCACGCAATTTCAATGTTGTAACCAATTAGTTTGAGGTGGTACTCTTTAACAGAATGCTCGTGGAAATTATGTACTGGTGTCCTTTCTTTCTTCGTGTTGTTCTTTTGTTTGAAAATCTCGCGGCCATTGCAGGAGTGACCTGCTGAAGATAGTTGTTACCTAGTACCTCCACATCATTCTTGAGCAGCGAGTTTTGAGGGATGCTGTTGAATCAAAAACAAAATAATTGTGTCATGTATTTTTAGAACAGTATACACATTAGTATTTTGGTTGTGGTTCCTATGTCACAAGATGTGTCCATGAAGAGCAGCCCTCTTTTTATCTTGCTCACGATTAAGCCAGTCCGTGCAGCTATTGGTGTATCCTATATAAAGCTCACACGTGGTGCCAAGCACTTTGTAGAATGATAATTTCTTGAAAGCATCATATCGAATAATGCGCCCAGCATTTTCCCATACATGTGTGTTTTCCGTGTTCAGAAGCAGTGGGCAATGGCGGCTATAGAGAACAAATTTTCTCTCTAGATTTTTTTTGGTCACCTTGTTCACACGCATTTGTTTTTCTGATGATGTCGAGAAACTCTTTGTGGACCCTGACTAAGAGAACAATGGTGTGCAAAAAAACTATCTTTGGGTAGCCCTATTTTTGGTTCACCACTTGGCTACCAAGCATAACTGCGTTTCAAGCATAACTGCGTTTCAAGCATTTCAGCAAACACTTAAAATAAGCGTCGAAATTCCAGCTGCATGGTGAGCATGCTGTCAAGTTAACTAAAATGATTCCGTGCACTTAATTTGCACTGGTGTTAGTTTGATTATCATTTTGGTGCGCTGATCTAACAGCAAATGGCTGCAAGAATGACTGTTTTAGCTGCAAAATGCCATCATAAACTCTCCACGCTGTCGAAGAGTCAACTTGTTCGCCCAAGCGTCACTTGGCCTTTGCTGCAAGGTGAAACGAAGATGTTGTAATAGCATCGTCGTGTTTAGTTGTCATTTCGGTTGTGAGCACTTTTTCTTTCATCTCTGCGTCAGCCATTTATAACTTCGAATCATCGTCACCGCAAGGTTCACAGGGTAGCGTGTGCGCCACACCAGTGACGAATCTGGTTCTAGTGAGCATCGCAAACAAAAACCGGTGATGTGGCTGTTGTGAGACACCAAGTGTACCACTTCACCAGACAGTTTTTTTTTTGTAAATGTGTCGTTTTATCTAGTATAGACTACAGGTGTTGGAGATTTCTTCACTTAGGTCTTGTTTTGTTCTGTTTTTACATCTAAATTTCCGAGTGCTTGCACATTAAGCTGAACCAAAACAATGCATATTTTGTATTACTTGATGTACTGAGCTTTCGCGACAGCTTCTTTCAAGTGCGGTGGCCTACAGGTTTTACGTCTCACTTACTTTCAGGCCTGATATTGCTGTTACGTTAGTTCTTTGTTTTTCGTCTCCAATCGTGAGGGCTACATTTTCTTGATATTCTTTCATTCTTATTTCAGCGATTACCTATTAGGAAAGATATGATGTGAAAATGGAGTGAATGGTTCAGTGTATCGTGAGCAATATGTATCAAAGCCAGTGTCGCTGTGTTGTGACAATAATGGATTTCCTCTTCAGTTGACGTTGCAGCAACGGGTCCAGTGTTGTGAAACAGACCTTGGTTCCAAGTTACCTCTCTCGCACATATGTTTCCCATCCTTCACTGCTTCTCAAGTGTCGTTATTTTGCACAACGGAAGCAGATCAAGGAGAGTCTGCTACATAGAAATTTGTCGTCTTACATGTCACTAGCCTGCGCTTGCGATGCTTGGAAATGTGTCCGGCAGCCAATTTTCTTCTTCCTCCTTGATTCCATTCCTTAATTTATCGGTCGTACATTCACCCATCTAGAAAACGATGCTCTGACCGTACTTCTTCATATCCTGCTTTCTTTTTCTCTAAAAAAAATAAGCATTGCTTCATTATATGGTTGTGAAGCAATATATACACGCACACATATTTATTGTCATCGTTTTTATATTTCAAGATCGCTTGTGGTTTGGAAGCCACATAGTTATTTTTTTCTTGTAAGTAGAATTATCTGCCCTTTTTCAAAGCAGTATGCGGGAACTGGAGATTTCGCTGTGAGCTAATAATTTCAACACAGCATGGAGTAGGTATTTATGATGCTCAAGGAAATGAAGCCAAAGATCAAAAATTGAAAATCACTCTGAAATCTACCTTCCAGGGCTGTTTCGTTTAAAATAGATAACAGGCTAGAATACATGTTCTTGAAATAACATTTCATTTCCTTTTTTGAGCCTAACATCCTACTTTCAGCCTTCTAAGTGCATGGAACTGCAAAGGCAAGTGGGGATGACACTTTGTTAAACTTTTTTTTTTTTTCTGTACTTGGGTGGAGGATGCTTTACACGTGTTCTTTCATAAGGGTGGGAATGACCAGTGTATTTTCACACTTGAAAGTATTGCATAAGTGTGCAAGTGATCCTAAACTTTATTAAGCAACAGCTTAAGCAATTCGTTTATAGTCAAGTAAGTGTGTGAAACGTTAAGCGGTTGCTTCTAGGCCTTACAATTGCATTTGGTTCCAGAGAGGCGATGACGGGATCATCCAACTATTTGCGGTTTTCAGCAAAGACTAGAATTAGAGAGTTTGCTATTTCTTTTAAAGATATGAAAGGTGTTCCATAAAAGAATATTTTAGTGTAAAGCAAGTTGTAGAAGTGGCCGGCTGTACACTCCTTCCTACGCCGGTGACCGCCATTTTGCCATGGCGCGTGTGACGTCATGATCCAGAAGGAGCAGAGCTGTAGTCTTCTTACAAATTTCAGCTGCTTCAAATTGTTCTATTTCGATGCCAAGCTGGAGAAAGCCAAGTGATCTTAATCTTACGCGCAGCTAACCACGGTCCAATATCATTCACTGGAAGTGCCGTAACAGCTAGTCGCTTGTTACGTCACTGCTCGCAAGTGCACTGTGAAGCCCAACACCAGGCAGCCCGCGTGTTTATAAAAAATGTTCAACTATAAGTTAAATGCTCAACCAAATGCGCTAAAATTTGGCCAGCATGTTTGTTAATGCACTAGGATTAACCCACGTAACACAGATTATGATTGAAAGTTGGGTGTCGTGGGCCCTTGAAGCTATTGCTTAAGTGTAACCAAGTGGTCCACTACACTTGAGCTATTGTTTAAGTGTGGTAGAACTACTGCTTAAGTGTGACCACACGCTACTGCTTGCACACTTGCACTATTATTTAATGGAGAGCAACAGTTGCCCTAATATTACGAGATGGTTTTGGCCACCTGGTGGCAATGACAAATGGGCTTTCCTCTTTGTACTCCTTTATTTTTTTTATCATCAATTGTTATTGTTGTCACTGCCGTGTGTGCCTTATGCATTGTTAAACTCCCTTGTGGGCGGTATCTTTGTTGGTGTTGCGGTCATTTTGTTGGTCTTTGGGTGGGACTGGTTGGGTTATCTCGGGGTAGCACTGTTGTGCACCACCTCCTATTGTTGTCAATTCAGTGAGCATTCGAGTGACCTGTTCGATAGCCTGTTTTACTAAAACCTTTCTACAACAAGGCTGTGTGTGAAAAACGCGTACTGCTGGCTAGGAAAATTTACAGGATTCTTGGTCTCGTACCAGACGTTCATTTTCGGTTTGTTAAATGGGCACCTTTCGCTTCGATACTAAATCACAGTGTAGGTCGCAATAACACCAGCTGTTGGGACTAAGTAGTCAAGGTGTTGCACTGCATGGTACAAAGCCACGCATTCAATCCCCTGCCTTGGCCGATTTTGATGAGGCGAAATGCAGAAACATGCGTACAGTACTTACAGACTGAAACAAGACCATTTAAGCCTAAGTAATGCACACACTTTCATTTCCACTGTCTTAAGGTTGAGTCGTATTGGTGTAATTTCGACTCGAATATGCAGATTAGGGTCATCATCATATTTGGTGAAGAGGTTCGCCCATCTCGAACAATTGTGCATACCAGTCACTGTGCTGAAAAATTTCATGTCACGTTTGAATCTGTGAGTACTGTACCTTGATTTTGCTGCATGATAAAAAAAAAAAAAACTTGAAAAATAAGAACAGGTGGTTAAAATCAATTCAGAGTTGTCCACTATGGTATGCCTCACAATTGTGCCATGATATTGGTTCATTAATTCCCAGTGCTTGTAGGTAGTAAAAGGTATTGCGGATTAAAACATTTTGTTTAAAGCTCCATGCACAAGTGTTGTGACCACTCTAGTGTTTGAAAGCAGTCGTGCGGCTCGTCAGTTTTTGTAAGCGACTCTACAAGCCACGATGTAGAAGGGCTTTATGTAGAGGGCCTCCATAATGTTATGCATTTATCGCTCAGCAAGTCTCTTTTTGTTTCTTCTAGGACTGTTCTGACAGTTGGATGTCCAGGTCTGAAGTAATCGTCTCGTGTGGTTGTGATGCAGCATTTTTTTTAATGCTGGGATTGGTTTTACGCGTGCGTGTGTTGATAATGCTCATTGTAGCAGGTTGTAGCAGTCGCCTGTGCTAACAGGGTCGATGCAGCCCTGCTTTTTGCCTTTGTGTCGACGTGACGGTTTTATAAGAGTGGAAAGAAGAAAGCGCTTACAAAGCCTTTTTGCTTTGTACTCGAACAAGGTATTTGGTGTTGTGAAGACCATTGACATGTGTGCGTGTACGAGACAATAGTGCTGGTAATTTTTTTTTATTGTGACCAAGTATTTTATGATGAGCTGAAGCAGTGTTTTTCATGCTTGGCTGCTCGGGACCAATTTACATGGATGTACACGTGCCTCAAGTGCCATTGTTTTTACAAGTGTCTACATTATTATGTGCAGCTTGGATCTTGTTTTTCTGCTTGTAAGGAGCTGGTGGAGCTTAAAAATATTGATCTCTTTTATATGGAAGTTGTGTCTGTGTGTTCTTTTCTACCCGTCATACACACATTGCAACTCATCAGTCATCGTGACTCATTAAAAGAGGACTTGGCATGTACACAGACACTCCGACGGCAAGTCTTTAAGATGGTGCACAATACCAAATGTCATTGACACAGTGCACCTGACAGGATTGAAAAATGACACAGAAACCTACGCATCATCGTTTCTAAATCCTGTGTTACATACACTACGCCAGGGGCAACCTTTTCAGCAGGAGAGGCCAAGTTGATGAAGCCAACTTCGCGAGTGTCTTACTTCAATTTCAGAGGTTCTGGGGTTTTGCAGACAAGAGCGAAAATTTATGCATTGACAACAAAGTACAGAACTGGGACAGAAATCGCGTTTATTTTGAGCACGCATGTCACGACGTTGCAATCTAGAAACATAGGTCACAAGCGTGAACAACATATGAGGTAAAAACTGCTTAGTTGGCCTTTAGATAGGACGTGACAAGAAAGGAGGGGGGGTGTCAGGGTTGGCATGATACTGCACTGCAGACTGCCAATCTCTGCACTATGCCATCGATGCATCATATTAGGCACTAATAATTATGACATGCAACTTAATGACAGGCAAATATGAGTATATCTCCTCCTGGTGCTAACTGTGAATGACTGTCTGCAAAAGTGTCACATTTACGAAGGATCATTTCAAAGGACTTGATATGTGCCGTTGTGTGCAATTTTGATTGTAAGTAATGATAATTGTGCTCCAATTAGCATGCTATATATTCTGAACTTGGTCATGTGCTATTTTTGCATAAACAAAACCAAATCACTTTACTCAAAGGGCATATTAAACTTCATCTTAATATTATTCATTTTTAGCAAACAGAAGTTAACCTTCTAATCATGTTTCTGCAATGCGGCTTGTTGAACAAACCATTGTAGATTTCAGTGTCTTCACCAAAGCAAATGACTGCATTCATACATAGCTCTTTGAAGATAACTTCATTCATCTTCAGTAAAAGAGGGTGAGTTTATCGAAATTTTAATGTACATTTCCCTTCGTTGCTTGCCGTGAACATGGCCAAATATTCACCAATGATTACCATATTGTCCAATAAGAATTCTGGGTACAGTTGTTTGAGTGCTTTGATTTTGCAATAAGTTGAGTCAAATGGCAATGTTTTCGCGACGTGCATTTCTGGATTCTGGCATCGGCAGGGCTGAGACCATGCTTTGGCCTCACGTTTAGCAGCGGCGGCATACAACACACTTCTACCAGCTGCACAGCTCACTGTCCAGAAAGCACTGGCCGAGACTATTTTGTGAATAGGTTAGTGGTTTAGTTTATAAGAACATTCCGTGAGCAGCGCGAGTGGCACAGACGGTATCACGCAGCTCATTTCACATCGACCGCTGCAGACAGGGCACACCGCAACTGCCTAGGTAAATGGGAGACTCGTATACGCGTTCACTCTCGCTGCATACTTTAGATGACATCGACGACGGTGCACACTACAATAGAACCACGGGTCGCCACTAGGCAACCTGTCATCTCTCCACTGTCATTCTCTCCTCCTCTCACTATTGCCGTCTTTTATCCTCCGTTGCACTCCGTGTTTACTCTTTTTCATCCTCAACTCTCCCGGTTACACCGACACTCCAGAACATGTTACGTCTGAAGAAAATCGAGCCTCTCTATTAGAAAAAGGCGTTTATTTACAATAAATTGGAGCCCGACAATGGGTTGCTGCTGCAGCACTTGAAGCCAAAACAGTTCGCCGTTGTCTTTGTCCATCTTTTTCCAACGTATACGTGTAAGGACACTGCACCCGAAAACAACATCCCCAGTTCAAACCAATATGTTGAATTGGTGCCACACATGCACCACACACGTATCGACTGTTAAACACCGCACTATGACAAGGCATTAGCATATGTGAACGTAACATAAAAGAAATTCGCCGAAACGAACAGTGGTTAGGGAATATTTGCCAGTTCTGGTAATGTGCCTGCAAATTCGGTAGGACTGCACAGCTTCATGCAAGCTGGTATTCAAATAAAAATACCCTCCAGCCACGTTTAGTTTTTCTGTTTTGAATTTTAAAAACTGGCCGCCTGACGTTTCGAGACCAGTTCGGTCTCTTTTTCGGGGTTAGCGTATTTAGCAACTATTTTCATCTCTACCGTTGTTTTCCTGCTGCTACTATATTGCGAATGTGTTGTCTTCTCCAGTAGTTTCAAAGACTGTGTACATACACGCACGGCTAGGTCTTCTCCGATCGGTTTCCTGATGTCATTTCAATACGGCAGGATTCCAGGAATTGTCTTTTGGTATTTCGATGACCCAGGCAGTGTTGAAGTTGATTCGGTGACCCACCTTCTCATTGTGTTCTGCGAGAGCGTTTCATGGTGCAGTCACGCCCTGAAGAAGAAACCAAACAGGCCTCAAGATGTAGAGTCAGTTTTTAAAATTAAAAACTAAAAACTTAACTTGGCTGGAGGTTGGTTTTATTTTTATAATTTTAACCAGGGAGCAGAATCTCCAAGAATGTCTTTTATCTCAGTTGTAATACACTCAGACCTCTGTATAACGAATCTGGATATAACAAAACATCAGTTATAACGAAGTAAATTAATAGTATTCTTGCAATATATATACTGTTAGGAATAAACTATTAAAACAAATTTTTGGATATAACACTTATTTTCATGCAATATGCAACTTCCTTGTACTGCAGTTTGAGTGCAGTTTCATATTGTATAGATTGTATGTTGTCCATTTCCGACTAGATGTCCATTTCCCAATTTTATCTCAGAAAATGTTTTCAGTGCTTGCTGAAAAAGCCGGTCCCTAGGAATTCCATTTGACATCGGATACGACGATTTTTCATTGAAAAGCATTTAGTGTAGTGCAGGTAATGTGCGTCATAAGATGCTGGCCACGGCATACCGTGTGGCAATTTGTCAGGGGTGCTCTGGATGATGAGGCAAGGACGATACACGGACTACAGGACAGGTTCACACCACCTGTCTTGTAGTCCCTGTCTTACCCTCATATCATCATATGCAGCTCAACAAGAAATCTTTAACCATCACCAACTAGCCCTATTCATGGGTCTCCCAGAGCGAGGGAAAACAAATGCATTGGTGGATCTCTCAGATATGGCATGGCATGGTCGAAAGCCACCTGCAAAGTGTGTTCCAACGTATATATGCAGTGCTCGCCGATTTAAATGTAGAATCAGATTTTCTAAATGGCCAGTAAATCATCACGAGGTCCTAAAAGATTTAATGAAAAGAAATATGTGCACTTTTGGTAGGTGGACATGCTTCTGCTAGAATTTTGCGAATACATGCTATAATAAAGAAGTAACAGGGGTTAGAGCATCCGTTTTAGGTGGTTTTAAATTATCTCACGCCTGCTCGCCACCCTCCTTTGCGAAGGAGTAGCCCATTGTCGTGACTTCACCCACTTCGACAACGCTGCACGGCATCCGTGATACGTCATTGGCGGGCAATCGATGACCGATTGGGGCTCCCCCATATGAGCCCATCTTATAGCGGCGCGGGCAGGAAATACGAAGCGAGGAGTACTTTTCTTCCTCGCAGTACAGTAGTGAGACACCCTTTTTATCTCGGAGGCTTTCAGTTTTGGCAATATCGCTTATTCCGGAGTTTCGGGCTCTACAAAACGGCAGAGGGCAGCACAGAAAACTGAAAATGCAAACTGCGTGATTGAAACTGCATCGCTGCAGGGCCAAGGCGCTGTTTGGTAGGGCAAAGAACCGATCGACAAGCTCAGTGGTGCGTAGCGTTGCTCGTGGACAAGCTTTCGTTGGACTGCGTGTATGAGGAGAATTGGTCAGGCGAGGGAAACAGGCACGGGATTTTCTTTCGAAATGGAGGGTCTGTGCCGCACGCAGAGCTGTAATAGCCAAATGTGATCGCCGTGGTCTGCTGTACGAATTGGCGAGCTTGTTTGGTGTTGTAAAAAAAAAAAAAAGGTGGAGCCTCTTTACCGGTCCCTTAAAAGCTTCGTTCCTAAAGCTCAATGTAAAAAGTCGGGTGTTTACAAAAAACCCTCTGTGCCGCTATCACGCACTGTTGCTTACCAGTCACGCTTACCAACAGACATTCCGCACGGCCACCACACTGTGTTTGCCCGCCGCGCAAGCTGAGTACAAGCAACAAATGCCCATGCTTCTACCAGGGGTGCTACAGCCAGCTTTGCATGTTAGCTCTGGTGCTGTGGTTTGGACATTCTTGCATGGTCTGTGACAGGCTATAGTTCAACTCTACTTCGTCTATGCCAGGGAGTGGCCCAGCAATAGCCGAGAAGGCCATGTTAAGAGCAACCATTTCTTAAGCTTTGCACGTCTAGTGTACGCTTCTCCTCGTTTGGTATAACAACTTATATGTGCATTTGCTAAAAATAACTACATCATGTTGTTTCGAAATTCCTCCGATATGAGATGAACTTTTATGGGCAATCATGCGCATGAAATCATTGCGAACTTGCCATGCACCCACTACGTGGCCTTAAGGGAATGGGCGTGGTTATGTGTATGCTTTTGCAGTGAGTGGCCGGCTTTAAACCAAGGTGGAAACAAATGTGCAATATTTGCCCCCGTTTCCAGTAGTGGAATCTGAACCTCTCAACTTTCAAACATTGTGGATTCGAATCCCATTGGCGTAAAGGGGGCTTCTTGTCCACTTTAGTGCATTTCAATTTACGTCATTACTATGCTACAGTTAAAGATAACAGTTAATGTGCCTATGTTTTCCTCGGCTTACTTGTTCATTGAATTCATTTGAATGTGTCTGGTAAAGAAACGAGCCTCCTCAAAAGAATGCCTCTTCTCTAGGCATAAGCAGCTGCATTTCAATTCATGAGCACTGTACATCACAGCATTGACATGCACAGCAAGAGTTAACCTCACGAGAAAAGTATAAATCTTCCAATAACATACATCTGCACATCAACTGGTAAGCTGCTGCTTCAGTCTGGAAATTATCTCCCAATGAAATGTGCTCCGTCAAACCGGTACGCACCTTCACCAGGTGACTATGCACATTTTGTGAAAGCAAGCTTGCATTCCCACTTCTGGAACCTCCAAATGCAAGATGGGTTTTCTCTCTGCAATTTTCATTCAGCACTATGTGTTTTGGGCAGCACTATATGAAACAAGTAAATGTATAGATTGCACACATTTTTTGTGAACACGACATATGCATTCCTTTTTTAGTGCAGTATTTTTACATCTATTCATTACAAATAACCCTGCATATGATCTTTAAAATGATGTGCCTTCAAGCTGGGGTATCTGCTTGTTATTGAAATGTTTGTTGAGGTAACATAGATGTCATTTAAAGAATGTCATGGTTGAGTGAAGTTGAATCAAGCTCGTCGAACAGTAGCAGCAACTACCATGGAACGCACGTCGCCTCAGCGCCCCCGTGCAGCAAGCTGTGGCATGCTGTCCACATCTTTCTTCCTATCGCTGGCGCGAGATATCTAATGGGACAAAAGCTGAGGGCTCGAGGCACGTGGCGGCTTATGGCTTTCCCTGATCAGTGGAGAGGAGAATAATCCAACACTGCGTGTTGGTTGTGGTCATGACACACATGAGAGTGGCTGAGCTTCAAGGTCAAAACACACACGAGTGTTTCCTGGGTTTGTAGCGGCAGGAGTAGAGCTATTGCTCCAATAACATATTTCAATGTACCGGTTACAAGGTATGCTCCGCAGTATGTTTCCCTTAGCAACTTGAAGCCTAAATTGACAAAAGACGTAGTCTTTTTTGTATTTTTTGGGCAGTTGAGCAGCACTGTTGAGTTCTTGAACAGAGTAATCTTGTGGTGCTTTTTTTTCGCCATTATTCTTGGGCAGTTTGCTTGGAACACAAACCACTTCTTTTTTCTTTGCTCTCAAGTTAAACTCAAACTTCACTCTTTTGCCAAAACGTTCTTTTCAAACACTGCTACCTGTATTGGAATGAAAAAAAAACAGAAAAAAGAGTTCTTGTTTAAACACTGCTGCCTGTAACATAGTAAAAAGGAACTTCTCTAAACACTGTGATGCCTGTAGTGAAGCAAACATTTTGAACACTCTGGTGCCTCTAACAGGGTAAAAATGATAACAATGCTCTTGTTTGAACACTGTTGTGCCTGTAATGAAGTAAAATTGAAGTTCTTGTCTGAACTCAGCTGCTTGTAACAAAGTTAAAAGGAACTTCTTTGAACACTGGTGCCTGCGATGAAGTAAGAAGGCAGTTCTTGTTTCAACACTGCTGCTTGTAAGGGAGTAAAAAAACGGCCGTGTGAACAAATTGCAGACCAAGCCATGGCTCGCGTGACAGCATCCTTTATTTCTTCCCAACTAGTTACACTAATATGCTGCTTCCTTGAACTACATAATAGTTATATCACACGCGTGCACATGCACAAACATCATCTAGAGCTTTTGTATTATTATATCGCCATCGTGACACTATCAACGAAATTACCAAACCCTCGCAGAACCTCACATGAAATAACCAAATGCACTCATGTCACAAACACACTGCTGATGAAACAAACTCGTACAAGAGGTGCACGCGACAGCAAAATCGAATGTGACCAGTGATAACTGAAGGTATGCTAAAATGATTGCAGCACGCTAAACCCACAGGAAGCCTCCGTGTATTGGTGAAAGCAGCTGCATTATTAGAAATAAATGTCAGAGCCACGAGATCACGTCTGCCGTGCATTTCATAAGTAATTCACGCATACTGCACTTTCCCCAATGCTTGAAGTTGCACTAAGTGGAGTCGTTTTTTTTTTTTCTTTTTTTGATGTGGCGAGAAGTGTGCTACACGGCCTACCCATGCTGTTTGCAATTATACGCCCACGCGTATTCAGATTGATTTGAAGACTAGTGGTACACAAATAAGCCTTTGCGGTGAACTGAATAACGGAAAGTTCACAAATGGGTACCTAGATCCTTGCGTATGCAATCACCTTCAATTGTTGTTCGAGCCAGTAGTCAAACGTAAGCCACACCTTGGGTTGGTGCTGCAGCCACAATTTTCTTTTTAAATAGCACGTGCATCCTAGAAACCCAAGGCCTGGGTGCCAAATTTTAAGCCTCTTTCACGTTCTTGCCTCATTAGGCATGTGGCAAAGCCTAGAAAGCAATGCAATGTCTAGGCATTGGGGGCATATGAGCCACAATGAAAGAAGAGACTTTTATGAAACAAAAGAAAAGCAAAAACAGGCTGATAGATGGCATCCACTAGTAGTCATTACAATGACACTTGCAAAAAAATGACATCCATAAGCCTAGTCTGCATGAGAAATGTATCGCCCGTCTTCCTGTAGCTCATCATTAACTGGAAGCTGCTCCGTGCTGCAGAGAACACACGCTTAAAACAACGCCAGCCTGCTTGCAAATGTCTTGTGCACACTAAACACGGCATATGCAAACACAGATTTCACAAGCGTATATGTACAGGCACGCAACAGAGATAGAGACACTGTAATATTTACAACATAGACCAGTGAATTGGTTTGTTTACATTGAGAATATAATACAAGACGCCTTTTCCTTTGGGTGTGTTTAATGTCTGCTCAATCAGGGCTCCATCACACTTAAGGCCAAATATGAAGTAAGTTTGCAGATAGATGGAATCGACGGGCTAATCGCTTCCGTCGGCTGCGCTACACCCTGCAGCTTTCGCGATCCTCGTGTGCTGCCATAATCTTACAGTCGTCTGGTCTGCAGCTGCGAACTGCAAGCAGCAGGAACTTCCAGTAGAGCGATTTTGAAGCTGAACCACATTTATTACGGTCAGTGCGCACTTATAAGACGTTCGGGGCCGTTAGCACCCGTGCAATCAAGTAGAGGCATTGTAGGAAAAGAAAAAAGCGTCTGTGGAATAACTTGGTGTGCGTTCTGTTCAGTTCCTCAGCAGACCTCTGGCCTTGTTTTCACACGATACAATGACATGCCCACCGGGGCCGTTTATGCTGGCCAAGCTAGCATATTTTCAGTAGCCACTTTGAACATCACCACACGTTATGGCTGCGAAAATATGGTGCTTCATCATCGCTGGGCACCAGTAAACAACGTTAGCAGAGAGACCAGCCAACACGCCTGCATCTCATTCCAAGCATGGTATTTTGCACGAGAAAGCAGCTAACATGGCATGCTTACAACATGTGATCAGGCCATCGACGGCTCTGCATAAAACTATAATCCCTCCAACATTGTGATGGCACACTTTTGTTTTGCTGCAGACGCTAATATGAAAAGCATTCATTTTTCGCTAAGGGTGTCGTGAGTGTGTGCGCGTGTGTGTACAGTGGTGACAATCCCTAAACACTTTGATAACAGCTTTGATTTTTTGTGATGGAAATATTCTGGACATCTCAATCAGCGGGGAAAAAAGAAAGAAAACAGTAATAGTAAGATTGCTAATTAGTGGCATTGTCCTGAAGAAGCATGATCTATGGCAGTAAAAGCTTTCAGAATGCAATTGCAAAGAAAACAGTGTGATTGTGGCAGTCTCCTTATGACGCTTATGAACATCGCTCAGCGCAAAATGAAATGGTGTGTAAAAAAGTTGCATGTGCAAGGACAAGCCATAAAGCAGAAAGGCCACGACAACTAGAGACATCTTCCAGCGTCTTCCTTTCTTGCAGCTCGGATTTGCTGCATCTACTGCAATACCTCTTGTAACATGGCCATTTTTAATCTGCCATGAAGTTTATTCGTATGGAATTCATCAAGCAACATTACAGCACTGACTGTTTAGCTGAGTGCCATGGCACTGAAGTCAAGTGTACTTGAAAGAAACATGAAGCAGTGTCCGGCCTGCATCGAGTTTGGTTCGCATTGAGTGTAGCATGCGTGGAAAAAACTTTAGAAGGATGCACGAAGGCAGAAAAACAGATCAACATATTGCATAAAGGGAGATCTCTAAGCCTCTGTAGTACAGCATGACTATAGGACAGCAAGCAGTAAAGAGCTGAAAGTTCTGTCAGTCTGGTCAATCGCCACAACTGCTGCACAAAGTTATGCGTATGCGTACGTCGTGGAAGGAAAACCTGTCGGAAAGGTTGTGGCCCATGCACGCTACAGCAAACGGTGGTTGTAACTTTCGGTATCCTTCATCGTTGGCAAGACGGGAATTGTGGTTCTCGGTTAACGAGGTTTCAGAGAGTACCACCTTCCAAGAACCTAGTAGGACATTTTGTTTAAAATGTGCCAACATATTTTGATGCCATGCCGTTGCGGAGCGACTCGTCTCGATGAATATAATCAAACAACAAGGCCTTGTTCACCAAAAACTGAGTTGGAGCAGTTACCAGTATGCAGATATGTTGTATTGGTAGATGAGTGCAGTGTTGTTGGGAAGTCAGAAAAGCTGTGTGGATCGTCGGTTAACCGCCGAGGAGCGGGACAGTATGTTTTTTGATCGACCCAAAGACAGCACACGACAGCCGACCTAAAGTTTCCTTCAGAGGCACGGTTATTGCGGGTGTCTATTGTGTGTGTGCACGCCTTGCACAAAAATACGTTTTCATTATTGCAGTCCTTTTTTTTTTAAACTCGCATGACGGAAGAAATCGCAAGTTCACAAAGATAGGGAGCAGTGATGTATGGGCACGGATGACGACTGTTTTAAGACACGGCGGAGCTTTAAAACAACTAATAGAAGCATCAAGAATGCAAGCGTGGTTGTGCATCATTCCAACACTGTCACAGGCTGACGTCTTGTAAGGTGGGTGTGGCTCCTGAATGACAAGAGATAAGCTGGGACAAAGTCTCAACAGGTTTACAGAAACAGCGTGGAATGTTGGCGGCATCCACTTTCACATGCACACGAGTAGGGCGCTCTTGGCAGAGACTAGATATGAAGAGGTTATGCCAGTTTGCATGTTGTGCACCGTTGTCACCGCAACAGCACTGCGCGAACAGCAGGAATCTCATACAGCGCAACCATTCGGCAGTAGGAATGTACACAGTGGACTGCACGGTACGTTTTCACGATGGTGGCCGCATTCAAAATGGAAATGAATATCAGTGCGACATATATTTGAGCGAGATCATTAGAAACACGGGCAACAAGCTGCCGTGCCGATGCGCCCTAGGCATCGAAATGTGACTAAATATAATTCCACTTGACTAGAGTGACAGTGCATCTTAGTTGCACATATCACGTAGAACACGCAAAGGGCAGATGCCAGCAGCCAGACGTTGACTTGAGGTTGCACGCAGAAGTTTCCGGACCATGCGCAAGCCAAGTGTGCCAGAGTTTCATTCAATTCAGCAAACACTACCAGGAAACGAGTGACGTGCCATAATTTTCAACGGAATAAATTTGCTGGCCAGTACGACATTAAAGTTGTATGCATGGCAGGGCTATGATGAAATTCAGGCTTTTCCGCATGCGCACGATCCACAAGCCTTTGGCTCTGACTGCACATACTGACCTTTGCAATTCAAAGCAATGCTTAGTTTCAAATGAGATCATCAAGGCAATAACTTGGTAATTCGAACAATCGCTATGACACTCACTTTTGCCAACAATTTAGTAGCATCAATATGCTACTAAATTGTGGAACAGACTGGCAAGCAAAAGTTACAACAACATTACACTAGAGGCTGCAAGGCAGTTTTTTTCAAGACTTTGCAGACAAGTGCCTTGCATTTATAAAGAATGGCAGAAATTCTTGGAATATTAGAGGCCACACACGTACAAGTTTGCAGCAGCATTTAACAGTGCGAGGCCAGAATTTTTCAAAGTAGAGCTTCCAACAGGAGCAAATGCAGTGCTCAATAGTTCACATGATCTGGTCTGCTTCTAATAGTATGGAAATACAAGAGCTTGAGTCATGCGAAGGTTGCACGTCTTTTACTTTGTCCATAAAGTGGCACGTTTTTGCAAAGCCACAGTCATTGCTGGCATCGCTCTTCATGGTTTTCGTGGAACGTTGCAATACCATGCTTTTCTATAACGGGAAATATTCTCGCCATTGGTTTTATTGGACAATAGCAGTTCCTCATAATGGCACTTTGCTTTCAATGAGTGTGTTCAGAGCCTGTACGCCCTTTGAAATCACACCCGTTAGGAGTAATCTTTATCATATGGTGCTCTTTGGCCACTCCTTGACCCCTACGTCACAACACTCCACTAATCAATCAGTAATCTTGATCGTTCTATAACATTTTCATCGACCTCGTCTGCAATTTTTTTTTAGCCGGCCACATTCACAGCAGAAGTGCTGTGAAACTATTCATCATGACTTTCCTGACATGAAATCACAGGGCATGCATCAAAATAAATACACCAGTAATTGACACCGAGAGACTGCACCTGAAAAGGTGAGAAAAAGTTGCATTCTATTATAGAGTAGGAAAAAGTGTAATATGGGGTTTTATTTTTTGGAGCGACGAGGGTCAATTTTTCGGTCAGATTTGTGACATGCCAGATCTTCAGCATGGCGATTTGTTGTAACTCTGAAAACTGCCACGAAGATGGTGGCTTTTGCTGTCTGTGAACGTACGTGCCGTCTTTCGCAACGTTTGTTCTCGCAAGTGTGCACCACGCCACTCCTTGCAGGTATTCGGCATGCATTGAGCATGCATCAAGTGTTTGTTAAGTTCACATGTGCAATTTCATAATCCCAGCACAGGAAATGTTTGTCAGTATTCTCGTGCTCTAACATATTCAGGCTGCCAACAGAATAGTGGCTCTGGTACACTTGCTGGTGAAGTGCGATTCATTTCCTAGATACACAGTAATTCCTGTATGCATAGTCTCTGAGAGACAACAGTTGAACTCTCTCGTAGGGAACAGCGAGAGTGTGTTTTACTTGACTAGATTGCCTCGGGGAGACCTACGTTATGTTCAACACAACCCAGAGTTCACTTAGAATCTGCACAGCCATTCACAGTGCCCCTCAAAAAAAGCATGACCCCTGCGCACTAACTACACCAGCACAGGTGGGCCAAAATTTTAGCCAGCCATGGTTCGCATCGACTGCGAGGTGAATTTTATGTTGGGCAAATTTGCCAATACTGCCGGTTAAGTACAAGCCAGGGAATAGAGCCGGTAATGAGTTGGATGTGACCATAAAACTAAGTATGATTTGCTTGCAATCATAAATCCTGCCTTTGTTCCCAGCCTCATGCCAAGTCGGAGCAGGTGCTATGCTTTCCTCTGGGCTGTTATACATACAGTAACTTACACCCAGTGCCGAGTCTCCCACTGTGCACAGCTGCAAGGCCTCGTTCCTAATATAAAATCATGAAATGTAGTTTTTTTTAATAATAACTTATTGTAGTGCCACCCAGTGGCAACTCAGGAAAGTGCTTTATGCCTATTTTTTTCTAAGTAACACATTTCTGAAGCTTCACTGTCCAGTCAGAATTCTCTTTCCTTTTTTTGCTTCAAAGTATGCTCCACAAACAGTTGGTGAGCTTGTAATTAATTTGCACAACCTGAAAGCAATGCAAGAGCAGCGCTGATATCAGTTGTTGCAAAACAGACAAACTGCTCACAATACTGCCCAATAGCTATATAGTTCCAGCCAGAGTCCTCCTGGAGTTGTTGCTGTACCTTCATCCTAGCTAGGAACAAACACGCTGGTCACACTCTGTATAGAATGGTTATAGACCACTTCGTGGTACACCACTTGGCTCAAAATTTTTTTTCCCTTTCACTGTCTCTGGTTGGCAAAGATATGAAGCAGTGGGGGCCTCCCAGCTGCATGCACAGTACGAGGTCCTGCCCTTGTGCACATGGTCGACACATGTAACGACACAAAGATCATTGTTTTTCCCCTCCCCTTGGCTAGAGACACGTATGCAGGTCGAGGAGGAGAGTGAGAGGGCTCAAAAAGAGGGAGCTAAAGGGATCACAGACGATGGAGGGGGGGGGGGGCGGGCTAGTAGGCCGGTGCCTGGAAGTTCCCACTGCCCATGCCTCCCATGCCTCCGGGGTCAGCCTTGGTGGAGAAGGGGGGCTCCTGGTAGGCATCACCCATGTCCCCAGGATAGCCGCCCGTGAAGGGTGTGCCCCCGCCGCCTCCCATGCCAGTGGGGTCGGCCTCGTAGCTCGGCATGAAGGGTGCGTCGGCGCCCTGCCGGTAGCGTTGGTAGGCCAGGAACACGCAGCCCGCCTGCGGCGTGCAGCATCGATTTGTGCCAGACCATTCTTCCCAAAGAATAAACCTGGCTCCAGTGACACTTGTAAATGAGCTCAAGCTCTAGTAAAGTGTCATTCGCTTTGATGAAACCATAAGTTTTCAATGGTGGAGCAAAGACCAATGTACTATCAGAGTCTAATGAAACCCGAACAGCGGCAAGCCTTTGCGATAATATAATGCGCGCTATCCAGTTGTCACGATTGACAGGCGCACGCAGACTGTTTGGTAGCTCTGTGCATATACATGCGTGCCTGTCCATGGTGATATGCGGACGGCGTGGACTTTACCATCGCAAATGATTGCCACTGTTGCGTTTCATTTCACGCTGACAGTACTTGCTGTTGTTGTTGTTGAGTGCCAACTGAGTCACCAACTCCTGGTGGCCCCATGAGAGCACCGGCTCTCACGGGTGATCTGATTTACTCAAGTTCTCTAAGCACAACAAGATGCTTCCCTTTAGTAATGCTTTCGTAACTGGGCCAGTTGGTGAATCTCGGAACACTCAGTAGGGCAGTGCAAGAAGGCACAGAAGAAGAGTGGTATACAAGACTCGCGGAGTGATACTATGGTGAATGAGAGACTGGTCCTAGTTCTGTAAACCACTCTTCCATAGACATGACTTTTCACGCTGCCCCGCTGAAAAATCACCTCTAACTATCTTAGTCTATGTTGGCCCCATTATTTCTTACCTCCTGCATTAGATAGCATTAGATAGAACTGCCAGTCCACACAACATGACCGAAACATGAAAGACTCAAGTTTCGGGACTTTTGCCTTAAATGTTAGGGTTTAGCGTTCTCACTTGCAATTGAAAAATTGCTTCAATCGGCACACCATACAATTATTAGGACTACACGCCAGCTTGAAAGGGTCGACTTTGATTTTTTTTCTTTCATATTTTTGTGGCGGTTATGATTTGCACCCATACATTGTTACAGAAAAAATAGAGTGTTTACTGGATGAATTTAGTATCACAGCTAACATCTTTGTCTTTCGGAACCTCTGATAGTCCACCCATTTCTTTCTCTCGAACACCAACTGCATACTTGTAAAAGGCCATCAGCACACACCAGTGCTTCGGCATCATTGGTTCGCGCGCTGTTCAAAAGCAATTCAACTTATCCCTCAACTATGTACCAAGAACAAACAGGATTAGCACAAATCAAGTATTATGGCAGTTACCATGAAAGTATTACCTTAATTTCTTTTACAACATTTAAATATGGCACTTCACTTACTCTGAAGTCACCGCTTTAATTTCCTAGATGTATCATCTTTAGGAAAAGCCATTACAGGCAAATAAAGGCAGCATTAAAACTTTGATTTGGCCTGGTTAATACATAACTTTTAAGAAGAAATATTATAGTGCAGACCAAGATGGGCCATTAAAAGGAGACGAGAGAAGCACTGGTGCTGACTAACAACTAACTTATTTTTCTTTCAACAACGCATATAAGTGCCCAAAACCACTTGACCATGCATACGCTCGCACAAAAAGACAGAAAAGTGCCAACGCTACAGATCTAGTCGTCGATTGTGTGAACACAGTATAGTACAGGGAGCTGCAGCCAAAGTTTATGTTGGCTATCTATGGAGCGCCCCTGAAAGTTGCTGCCAAATTTATGCCCCCAAAACTGCACAGCTAGTAAATTTCATGAACAGACCACAGAAACCATTGGGTTACGTAAAATGTGAAGCAATTTCTTATTGGCCTCCTGATCATGACAGAAAAACTGGCACTTGGAACCCTATGTGTTCAGCTAGAAGGACCAGGGTAGAGGCTAGTTGTTTTTACATAGTTAACACTTGTGACGCGCTGTTTGGACACGAAGAAACACACATGAGGATCGGGTGATGTTGTGTTCTACCTGTGGTTTCGTGCGTGTTTCTTGCAAGTGTGGCCGAAGAAGTGACTTTTTTTCATTGTTGTAGGAATTTCGTTGTCGCAAAAATATAAAAATACATCATCATTCTCATCAGCCGGACTACGCCCACTGCAGGGCAAAGTCCTCTTCCATGATCCGCTAATCAGCCCGTTCTTGTACTTGCCGTTGCCACGTTATACCCGGAAACTATTTAATTTCATCGGCCCACCCGACTTTCTGTCTCCCCTTCGTGCTTGTGCCTCCTCTGGGAATCCTGTCAGTTACCCTTAATGAACAACGGTTATCCTGCCTACGCGCTACATGCCCGGCCCATGTTCATGTTTTTCTTGATTTCAACTATGATATCCTTAACTCCGGTTTTTTCCCTAATCTACTCTGCTTTCTTCTTGTCTCTTAAGGTTACACTTATCATTTTTCTTTCCATTGCTACCTGCGTTGTCCTGAATTTAAGCTGAACCCTCTTTGTAAGCCTCCAGGTTTTTGCTCCGTATGTTAGTACCGACAAGATGCAGCTGTTATATACTTTCCTCTTTAGAGTTAGTGGTAGCTTACTATTCATGATCTGTGAATGCTTGCCAGACGTGCTCTTTCCTATTCGTATTCTTCTAGTTACTTCACTCTCTTGGTTTGGCTCTGCAGTTACTACCTGTCCGAAGTAGACATATTTCTTTACCATTCCAGCGTCTCTTCTGCTAAACCGCTATTTTTTGCCAAGACTGTTGCACATTACTTTAGCATTAGGCATATTAATTTTCAGACCTACTGTTCTGCTGTCAGTGTCGAGTTAAGAAATTCATTTAAAGCAGTCGTTGATCCTGTTTTTTTTTGTTGCTTTCAAGGAACTTGACGGCCATTGCCTTGCTATTTAGTAAGCTTTGCATAACTGTCGTCGTTGTGGGCACTAAGGAAAGTGTGAATGACGTCAGGAGCGTCAAGAACCTCGTGTGAACTCACTTGCACTTCATCTGTGGCTGGTGCAAAATTGACAGTCCTGCTTCTTTCTTTTATCACATTTGTTTGTATTTTATATTGTGAAGCCCATCTCTTAAATAATGTCCTGCAGGACCTGTGAGGTATCAATGAATGAAAGGAAAAAATCATGAAGGTTGAGCTGCATGTATTTTTGTAATCCAATAATTAAAACAGAAAAAAGTGCTTACTCAACGTTCCAGTTTGTTCTTTTCAGGGTGTTGCACTGGTGCTGATCACTCAAAAAGTATCCAAAAAATGTTTGACATTTTGAAAATGTGCTTTTTGATTTGACTATCGAATCAAACAGCAGAATATTCGATTCATTATTCGAGATTTTCAAATATTCGCACACCCCTACACTTCACCACGGGGCATTTGCAGCTGCGGATGATAAAACGTGGCCGCAGAGCGAAGCCCTCACCCATGTGAAGATGGAGAAGAAGCTGAAGGCGATGGCTGCCCGGATGTTGTTGAGGCCGTAGCCGTCGCTCGGCATGTCTGACTTGCGCCAGGCATCGCACAGGTAGCAGAAGCACACGACCCACATGAATGCCCACAGGGCTGCGCAAATGCAGAAGCAATTCGTTTGTGTTATACAGCATCCCATCAGTTTCATTCAGTTTGTAGTACACAAAATCATTAGGTAAATTCAATAACTTTGGCCAGTTGGAGTATTGTAATAGAATTGGGTGATAGCACAAGGAATGGTACAAGGAGACCAAGACAGACTAAGTGCTATCATGCAGTATTTTTTTTTTAAGCGAAAGCTGTTACGAGATCACAACTCGGGTCACACGCAGTTATCCGTCCCCACCGCCGGTGTCCGTAACCACATCGCGCGAATTAGAAAAAGAACCTAGTGCCAATGACACAGTGGGGCTCGAACCCCAGTCTGCTGGGTGCCAGTCCAGTATTCTACCACTCAGCTACGCCCACTGCTTGGGACTTGTTGGCAGACTTGTCTTAGGCAGGCTTGATGTCGGGAAAGCAATCGCGTTAATATGACTTATAAAGAATTTTAAAACTGCGAAAGGACACCCACTCATCGCACAATGCGAATTGCGTAACGAGTAGGTCGTCCAATGCTCCAACCCATTACAAAAGCTTGTTCTTGTTCCCCTATTAACTGTGGCACATACCCACTTTAGTCATAATTCCTCATCGTCGTCAGCCACTGCATGAACAATTGGAACAAAATTCCTTGCTAGTGCTTAGCGATACCATGCTTCTCAGAAGAATGATGAAAAAAATAGCATAGCAAATGCCACCCTACTACCCAAAAAAGTTTATTATTAATGCCCTAGTGGGTATCAAGAAAGTGTGCTTGCCATAGTTACCCAATGAGTGTTTATAAAAGGCTCTAAAAGGCCGCTCTTCTAGCTTTCGCTGTGACTGTGCTACGCCTTTCATGCAGGCCTAGCATTTTTTTTTCATTGCATACATTGTAATACACTCTGGCCTCATTATAACAAAGTCCCACCTGCCATGACAATGCTTCGCTACATTTGAAAATGCGTTAAAATTTATATTCCTGACACTGTATCTATGGCAAAGCTATTCTTCATTTCGTTATAATTAATAATTGGTTGTATTCATGTTTATTATATCGCCGTTTGATATATACACATATTCCTCACGATCAACTCTGAAAAGAATCGATGTCGATTTGCTCTGAAGCATTCAGCTTCAGCAACGGGTGACTGGGTTTCCCACGAAATGTTTTTCAGGTGTACCATGAGTTCATTAAAATTTAAGATGTGTGGCGTGAACATGTCAACTTACCACGTGTTATTACAACTTCAAATGAATGTTTAGACAAAGAAAGAGTGGCTTTTGTGACACGAGTCACGACAAAATCATTAATTTTCGACACGCATAAAAGTGATGCCTTTGACACCTTATTTAACTGAATATGACTTTTTTTAATTTCTATAATGTGGCAGTCGGTGACGAAAATGTTGCTAAAATTACATCCTCCAGCTGCCATTCATTTTCTGCATTGCTAGAGTGCACTTCCAGATCTAGAGTATCTGTGGGCTTTTTGCTCCTTATTTTTGTTTAATAAGATGCTGCTTTTTTTTAATTTACATTGTGAAATTGTCTTACGGAATCAATACACATTACACACACACAGAGGTGCTGCTTATAATGTAGTGAAACACACGATGGCTCCTTTATTTGTCATTGTTGACACGTGAATGTACATGAGTTGGTTACAAAGAAGGTTGAATAAAATTCCTCTCTTATAACTTTGTCATAGCTGCCTAGCATCAGGTATCTCCATTTTGATGCAGGCTGTTCCTGCAATATGTCATGTTTTAGCAATGAATGGCAGATGCGGTCACACTTTCTTGAACCAGTTGCAACCCTGCTTGTGCATGACAGGGTGCACGAATGGCCGGCAGCCAGGGCGTTTAGAATGAAACTAGCTCTTTAGAGGACATGCTTGCATTGCCATTATGGCCGTCACCAGCCCATTGAAGGTGAAAATACGAAAGCCTTTTACAGCAATTGTGTGCCCCGAGCGGGCTTACACCGTATACACTTAAACTTCATTATAACAAAGTCGCATCTGCCACGAAAATACTTCATTATAAATAAAAAAAAAACTCATTATAAACTATTATTATTGACACTCTATCTATGGCAAAGCTATTGAACACTTACTTCGTTATAACCAATAATTCATTATATTGAGGTTTGAGCATATGTGACATAAATGAAGAATAAAAATGACAACCTAAGCAACACTTGAGGAGAGCAAAGGCAAAACCTCTGCTAATGAGTTTGATTAATTGATAATTCACATCCATTTCACCGTATATTACACTTTTGAATCACATTATATTTGGTCAGTTCAATTTATCGTATGTCTATTCACTCTAAGTTCATATGAAATCTGTATTGCTACTCTTCATGTTGACTCGAGTTTGTAACCTTTTTTGAACTCGAACCTGGTAGAACGGCGTCATGAACTAGTCATTAACCAAGCTCTTCATGTTAGCAGAGTAAGAAACATCACTTTGCTGTAAGAAGCGCCAGTATGTCAATGTTCAAGCAAACTTACTGACCCCGCCATACCATTAAGTCCAGTACACTGGCATAAATCCTGAGAAATCACTTGGGGGGGAGGGGGGGAGGGGCACGCAACTTGTAGTGGTACCCACTTTGTTTTTATAGTTATGCTTTATTGTTTATTCATATCAAAATCGAAATTACACTTTCAAATAAATTTACTTTTAAAAAATAAAAAAAGAACCAGTCGAGCATCAACGCTAGGTCAGCACTGAGAAGCCAATAGTATAAGCGTAAATTTTCTTCATCGTAACTCACAGGCACGCTCTAGTGCATTTCTAGCTAAGTCATTCGGATTAAAGTGTGAAAAAAATCCTAACTCTTTTTTTTGTGCGTGACAATGCGTAAAAGTAAAGCACCACTTTGGCCCCATTTCCGATAGCAAAGAGCTGTTAAAGTAGCCTCTCATTATTTACCTCTGAATAATTTATTGCAAAGCATTTTTGTGTTCACCAGTGATGCTTTAAAACTAATGCAACCATAGTCGAGCAACCATATGCTGTAGTGTTTTTTGATGCGATTAGCAGCTTTGATTTTTGTTCTTAATTTTTGCTCATTCGAAGGGCTTCTTCAAATTTCAAAGTTGTTATTTACAGAATACTGCAGGACAATTTAGAGGCCCAAGAAAAAGTAGTTACATGTACATTTAACTGAAGCATCATACATATTATGCAATTTGACCCGTACTACAAAAAAATTAAAAAAGACACGCTGAACATTGTAGTAACAAAGAAAAGATAGAGCGTATTAACATACATAAAGCAATCATAAAATACAGTGAGTAAGGCAGCATACGGTACGGTACACTAGGTGAGGTCACGTCAAAGCAAAATGAAATACTAGTACTATGTCCTGATTAGTCAACTTTTCTACAAGCTCGGTGCGATGTAACCATGTCAAAGAAAGGACGTTCCACTCATTTACCGTGTGTAGAGGCTCTCGTGCTGAAGGCACTCAGCATGACAATGCCTGGCTTCTAGGGTTAAGAGAGGTGTATGCATGTTTTACAGAGAGTGTGCTACCTTTAACTGTCAAAAAATTCAAAGACGGCACTAAAATAGATAAATCTTACGAGGGGACACCCAAAAAAAATGTTTCCCCCCACCCGCCCCAGCCTGAACACATGGGCTTTTCAGAACCCCCTGGCCCCTTTATGATTTAAGCCACTGCTCCAGTGTCACAGTCAAATTATGGGTCCACAAATGGCATTGCACTTTGCAGGCACTTAGATGCGGCTGATGTGGCCAGGACAGAAGTCCCCAAACTCTAAACCACGAATTTGGCAGCACAATGCTACAGTCGCTAGGCTACCATGGACTTTCAGAGCTTGAGTTTTTCATTCACCACGGGTCGTGTAAAAATGCAAAGTACACTCAATACAACATGACCTTGAGCTAGTATGGGCTTCATTTACTACTTTTTGAGCTTTTGGTCTGAATTGAATGAAAAAGCCAGGTGTCTAAACTGATTTGACTTGGGGTCTAAATTGATGAAAGAAGCCAGGTTTCTAAATTCATTTGACTGCATGGGGTTTTGTATAGTCCATCGGTCAAGGACACATGCATTTTTCAAGAAAGAAGCTCTTGAAACTCGACATAAATTGTCCAGTGTCTGCTAAGAATTTTTCGTGCCATTACTTATAAAAAATTTGAGGACGCTTAAACTTGTTTGGCATTATTGGGCTTCGTCTGCATCGTCTTCTGAATTGCTAGCCTGCATCAGTTCTCGGTGCATGCCTTAGCCGTACCAAAGGAAAACTATCAAATGATTGCAAGCATAACAATGCCCATTTCAAAGTATCACCGAATGCCTATTGCAAGCACAGAACTTTGTCATGTGCCCACTACACGTCCATAGGACAGCACGCAAACCAACGAGGCAGTTCCCCTTGCCGATGGTTCTGCTGCTGATGATGAATAAATATGTCTGAGTCCTTTCCAATAAGTGGACCTTTATAACACCCATTCGTCGCTCAATTCACATCTTTTGCCGCCTGGAGCGACTCTACGCTTCTGCCAGGCAATATATGCGACGTTAAGGAAACTTCTTCCACTGCATCACATTAATATGATGTTTTTTTTTTAATTTCAACAAATATTGTGGCTCTGAGGTAGAACACCTGCTTGCAACACAGAGGGCTTGCGTTTGATCCTCAATTGGACCCGGAAACATTTATTATTTATTTTATTTGCATCTTTTTTTATTTTGCAGTCACACACAAGATGATAATTTCACACTCACAGACACTGACACCGATGCCGGAATTTCTGAGAAATGACCTCTTTCATGCTACCGCGTTAATAATCAAGCCACAGCTGCGTGCCGCCTGGGTTTGACCTTGCCTAGCCATCCATGCCCCGAAGAGCAGCCACAGCCAAGCCATGCCCGCATGCGCAGAGTCTGCGCAGCCTCCTGTGCAGGGTTTGTCTGGCATGGCATGAGCCTAATACTAGCGACGAATGGTCCAAGCATCTACCAGGGGTGCCACAGTTAGGTTAGCATGTTAGTCTCTGGCGCGGAACTTACGACATTGTTGCATGGTCTGTGAGAGGCTGGGGTTCAATATTACTGTGTCAGCACCACGAAAAAACGTAGTGTCAGCCAAGCAGGCCACATTAAGCCCCCCAAGATCAACCAGCTTTGCAATCTCTAAACTTTACACTGTTTATGTAAAGTTCTTCCTTTTTTTTCCTTCAGAACACAGACACATATTCTACAATAAGTCTTTAATAATAAATCTCAACCCATTATTACTGAAACTGTCACCCACAATTCACAGCTCTGTACGTTGCCCTGGCCCTACTGAAAGTTTCAAAAAAGTGGCAGCACATCTTTCATTATTTGCAGTATCATCTTAAAAAAGTTCTTTAGGTACAGTTTGTATCGTTGACCACTCGTGGCAAAATCTTGGAATTGGTCGTCATAGATAACTGTTCTTCATTTTCATAATTAAGAAATGATGTATTTGAGTTCATTTAAACTTTGTAGTTGGAAGCGAGAGGTTTGTTAGACCAGTAAGGATACATGATCAAGAGTTGGGAGGCAATTCCGCCTTGAAATTTTCGTACCAGCTTGAGCTGACATAGTAGATATCGAAAAGTAATCTACTCAGCCTGGCTGTTGCTGGTGGTTCTGCTAGCAGCTAACTTCGTAACGAAAATAGAAAAGTAGACATTGTTGGGCACTGCTTATTTTACAAGTTTATTGTGACCCATGGCAAACTTTTTTCTTAGCCAAAAAATGCTACGCATTAAAGCAACACTAATGACCCATTGTACCCGTAAATTACCTTGTCACAACCCCAAAAGCACCATCCTTGCATTTCGTCTCGCCGTGGTGGTCTAGTGGCTAAGGTACTCGGCTGCTGACCCGCAGGTCGCGGGTTCGTATCCCGGCTGCGGCGGCTGCATTTCCGATGGAGGCGGAAATGTTGTAGGCCCGTGTGCTCAGATTTGGGTGCACGTTAAAGAACCCCAGGGGGTCAAAATCTCCGGAGCATTCCACTACGGCGTCTCTCATAATTATATGGTGGTTTTGGGACGTTATAAACCCCATATATCAATCAATCAGCCAATCATCCTTGCATTGCAAAGAAGCTTAGCAAAAGAAAAAAAGAACATCGAAGAATGAGGTACAGGATGCAACATTGTCTACAGGTTTCCGCAACAAGAATCCGTGATGCCACAAATGTTGACAGTGTCTGCTGAGGCCTACATAATTTATATTGACATTAGTGGTTTGGGCTGTGTTGTAGTCAAAACGGATATGCAGCATAACAAGCCTCATAACATTTTGTTGTGTTAATGTGGCCAAAATATTAAAAAAAAAGAAAGAGATCTGTGCCATCACGTTGACATTAGGTGCCGAGATTTAGGGGCGAGGAGTGAGAATGACACTTTGACCTTCATATTCTCTTCCTACAATCATGAAGTAAAAGGCAGTAGTTCCCTAAGTATAATTTATAAACTTTAGTGTCCCTTCGAAATTATATATGTGCAGAGAGCAGCCATACCAGAAAATGCCATGTCAGCTACGACAGCCCGGCGACGGATCTTTATGCTGGAGAAGTTCTCGAACATGGCCTCAATGGCGAGGAAGCCGCAGCTGCCGAGGAAAGCGAGCACGCCAACTGCCACGCCAAAGTTGCACGCATTGGAGTCGCTGTTGTATTGGCACCGCTCGTCCACCCAGGCACCAGAAGAGATGCACCCAAACACCACAATGGCAAACAACTGCATAGATCAAAGCACTTGCAATATTTAATGCAAACGAAAGCCATCAGAAACAAACACACATCCAGCATACGTCTAGTCACTGGAAGCGCGCTGCACAGCTTGCTCAACTTTAGTCAAACCTCACTAAACAAATCACAAGATATAGCAAATGTACGCATACAACGAATACAGAATATAACATAATTGTTTAATAACACCTTTTATTAGTCTCATAAATGCATGTCAAGTCTTTGTGTTGAGTATAGAGCTTAATTCATGTCAAAGCATTTTTGTGTAGGGCGTTTACTTTATAACTCACTCTCAATGATGAGCAACCAAATTTCCATATGATTATGAGAAAATTCCAGCACACCTAGATAATAGTTTTAATGCATTCAGACATTAAGATTGACATGTATGTTGCATAATCATGACCAGTGCCTCATTAACTGAAAAAAAAAACCACAAAGTATGCGAACCGGAAATTAAAAAACCGGCAGCTGTAAATTGCTGACCGAAAGGTCGCGAGTTTGACTCCTAATAACGAAACTTTTTTCTTTGTCTTTTTATGTGTATTTATACACGTCACTTCCGTGAAGGAAGTACGTACGCCGCTGAAGTCTTGGTGAACCCCGGGATAAAACACTTTCGTGTTAAAAAAAAAAAAAGAAGCGGAATCAAATTAGAGCGCGTCCCAACATATATTGTAAGGCCTGTACGATACATGCAGCCGGCACTTTTTTGCCGGATTTTTATTCTATATATGTAACTTATTTTTTTCTACCCATCGTATAATTCCGATCCTTCATGTGACAAAGTAATTACTGAGATACGCGATCAGGAAAAGATAATTTCACCCACAGTGTGCGAGCTGGCGCACCTGCATATGCGCGGCGCGTGAGATGATAAGGCCAAGAACATAGACGCGTCCGCTATGCAACGCACATGTGCGAGCCGTGTAAACATCGTTATTCTCAGACTTAATTTGCTGCTCTAGCGACGCTTTCCCCGAAGTTGCATTGGTCAATAAACGACATCGGCGCCTGTCCGCGCGCGTTCTGGGTTGGGCTTCGCCGCACGGCGTTCCGGCGCGCGCGTCCGTTTTGGAAAGCGAAAGCGCGCGTCATGCTCCGCATGCCAGCGACTTACCGGGCTGGAAAAAACGCGCACGGCACGCAAAGGGCGCGAGCGACTGTTTTTAGCATGCCGCGCGGCTCAACATCGCGCCCATCTAGCAGGGACAGTCCGCCATTCCCAGCGATCCGAGCTCGGGAACGTCCGTGGCGAAAAATCAATAATCTCCCCCCTCGAGCACTGCACAGACAGCTGCAGCACGCCGCGCTACCCACTCGCAGCACCTCTCAATGAAAATACAAACTACGACCTCTTTTGTAATAATATACAGCGGTGATGAACGCCGATGGCTTAAGGAATAGAGGGTATCACTTACCCAGCATAATATCCTAAGCATGACTTGCGGTTTTAGTGCGAATCCGATCGGGTCGAAGCCTCCACCGGCCTTGCCAGCGCCGTACGCTCCTCCGTTCATCTTGGGCTCGATCGGTCACCGGCGCTATCAACGACGTCCGCTTGAGACACACACACTTTCAGCTATGTGGTAGTACGGCTTCGGCGAGATGAATCCGGCGACGTCAATTCACAGGCCAACGTATATCGTGCACCTGCGAGCGCTTTTGGTTGGATTGGCTTTCAGCGGCGAAACCAGCGTCTCCGGCGGCGCTAGCGCGCGCTGCGCTGAGGTGAAGCTCACTCGAAGGAGGCGAACGTTCATGCCAGCCTAAAATCCATCGTTCAAGGGGACAACTCTTCGTTCTTGCCGACGCCCCGCGACGGAAGAAACTCGGTGGGTTTGGCCGCCGCTAGGGAACCTCGTCTCCGCGAACACTGAATGAGGGCACGCCACAGATTGTTATTTTGATTAGTTCAATGATTTTTAACTGTTTTTTGTTTCTTCTTCTTCCTGCGCGGAGAGGTTGGCATCAGCGCGCTTCGAATGGAGATCAGTGGGACGCGCCGTCAGCGCCTCTTAGTTTCGACAAAGTTTTTTTGTTTTCATTCCTGAAACGTACCCCGATCAAAAGCGTGAACGTCGAGTAGTTAATTTACGTAGCTTTTGTTTTAATTGGCATATGAATGAACGTCACATCCTCGATATTGACGCGTTTCCTACCTCTCCTTTTAAGCGAAACCGAAACTTGAGTCATTCACGTCTACTTTTATTATTAATATTATTATTATTACATAGTACAATGCTTACCAAATATTTGCAGCTAAATAAAAATATCTTAACGTGTAAATACAATAAAATGGTTATTTTGTTGTAATGCGCAGTGAATTGTGATGTTTTTGACTCGTTACTCGTATTGTCTGAAGAGCCATCGCCGGCCGGTTCCAGCATTTCTCTATGGTTCCAGCAATGGTGTCACTTCCGGCGCTGAAGTTTTATTTCTCTATTATCGTGCCTGTTGGCTGGCTCCTCGTCCTGCTGTGCAACGTACTGTACTAAGGGAAAATTTCGTGCATCGCTTGCTCCCGAAGAGGACCGTGGGTTTTCGTCCCTTGAGGCCGCCATAGTAAGCTTCCCGACTCTCCAAGATGGACGTGAACGAAAACGACAGCGTGTGCATCGTCTGCTGGCGTGACATCCACGTTTACGCGATTGGCCTGTGCGACCACCCCGTGTGTCACGAGTGCTCCACTCGTATGCGAGTGCTGTGCCGCAAGAGCGAGTGCCCCATATGTCGACGCACCCTGCCCAAGGTGAGAGCGCCGTTCGCTGCCCGTACTTCTAGTTCGGCGGTGTTTCTCGAATACATGCCCCGCCAACGCACGGCTTAGCTCCGTGGTCAAATGCGGTCGCTTGGTCCAGCGTACGGCCGGTACACTCATTCCGGCACAGCGTGAAGTTTAAGAAGGCGATGTGGGGATTCGGGAATCTTATCTCGACTCGTTACTGCATATTAGCACATTTGTCGCGAGCGACTCATCGGTATAGGCATCGCTGCTTTTTATGGCTGAGTGGTGTAAGAGAGAAAGGATGAACTGGTCTACCTATGCGTTGTCCAATCGTGTCCTGCAGGGAAAAACAAATATTGAATGCCGGAAAGCGAAGCAACGACGTTGCTTACCGCACCCGCGGATGCATTAAATAATACGAAAGGGTCATCATTTTCACAGTCGCACCGTCGTGACAGGCTTCGTGACAGCTGCCAGTGTAGTAAGAGACCGGCCCGACCGCCGCAAGTTTTGCTTCTTTTGAACGAAAATTGTTGGGCAACAGTGAGGCGGCATCGTCTCCGGCGGTTTTCCGCTGGCGAAATCGGCGTTCGAAAATTCGGCTGTTATCGCCTCGCACGATTTCGAACAAAGGTCGCGTCATCGTTGCGTCTTCTCGCACGCCGAGAAATACTTTGCTTCGGCAAGTTTTGCGGTAAGGGTTTTGCGCACCGGCACAGATTTTGTGCCGAGTCGAGTTGGAGACGACCCTCCCGGACGAATGGTCTTCGAAGAAAACTGCTAGTGGCAGTTCCGTTTCTTCTTAGATTCGCTCCGGTCGTATTCGAATGAATAAACCAAGAACGCTGGGAGGGTAGCTTTCTTTCTTTTTTTTTTTTTTGAACTTTACACGGTGAGAATAAGCTGCCTCGTGTAGAACCGCCCCATGTTAAATCAGGTCTGGGTCCGCTCGAATTCGCGCAAGTCGCTCGATTGTCTGGAGAACCTCGACCTTGAACTTGTTAGTTTTTTTTTATTGAATTCGCGAGCAAGTATCCGTATAGCGCTATAACAATGCGACTAGTGTGACGCTGATTTGTGTTCGGATGGAAATTACGTTTTCAACAATGTGTGCTGTCGGCGTCTGTTCAAAGGAAACCTTGAAAGTAGACTGTGAAGAATATAATTTATTGTGACGGATAACCACACGATTTGCGCGGAACGACATAGGGAGGGGGGGGGGTGCAGTGACAAACCCCTTTCCATCCCTGTCCCTGAAGTGCGGGTTTAAAAATCTTTTTGGACAGCTTTTATGCACACTTGGAATGCATGAGGGGGGGGGGGGTAGAATCTTCTGTTCAGTGAAATAAAATTGTGGCAATGTTATTTATTCATTGCCCGCATTTTTCAGGCTAATAAAGAAAGATAATTTTTTTTCCTTGCTGGTGACTAGGAATTGACTGGTAGCGATGTCTTCTAAAACATTTAACATCCGCATGGGAAGCTTTTGAAAAACCTTTGTAGTGCATAGGAAGGCAGTAAGGGAAAATTTTAAGGGCTCGTTTTTCTTTCTTAGACAGAATAAGAATTAGAACTAACGAACATCACTGCTAAGGAAAGTATATAGGAGTTGTTATTAGTAGTAAATGTAACCTAATTGTAAAAAGAAAAGTGGACAAAAAGAGAACTTGCTGTGGGGCAGGGACCGAACCAGTGACCTTCGAATAACTCGTCCGATGCTTTATCAACTGAGCTACCTCAGTAGCTATCGCCCCATTCATGAGACCGTCTGTTCTCATTGATATTGTGTCTGACAAAAAAAAATCGCACCATATTTACGGAGTGAGTGATGATTAAAGGGGGCCGTCCGTCTGTCTGCTATGCCTGATGCACGCCAAGTCTATACTAAGAGAAGCTTCATCCCTAAAGAGAGCCCTTGAAGTTTCCTCATCTTTCCTTCATTCATAGCAAGGGTCTTAGTCTGGCAGACCATGCCTTCAGGGGGTACTGAAAGGGATAATTGGTCAGGTGCCAGCACGTGATAAGATCACATGCTATGCGACCCCAACAAGCAGAAAAGCTGTTTCAGATTTGCCGTCATAGCAACTGGCGGCGCTGACTGGTGCTGCCACGTTTAAATGCACAGCTGTACTGCATAAAGTGGACCGAGGTATGAAAGAGATATAAGGTGTTGATTGATTTGATTGATGTGTAAAATTTGACTTTCAAATAGATATATGCTGGTGTTTAAATGTATTCAAAATTAGAACTGTATTCTGCAGTTGGGAATACACTTCTGGGGGTTGTTGTTACTGCATGGGCAGTACAAAAACACAGGGGACAGTTTTATCGAAAAGTCGCTTAGGTTATGATTGTAGCATTTTCCACTGTACTCAATAAAAGTGCATAAAAAACAAGGTGTAAGTAAAGTAATGGAATGTTTTTTTCACAATTACATATTTTTTTGTTTTAATTGCTTGCACATGGATAGTTTCTCTACTTTAATGACAAAAAGAACTGCATAATTTAATTAAACTTTAAGTAGGTCGATATAACTTCTAAGAGCACAAGGTGGCAATTAAAAACTAAAAGGAGCTCACTGTCTAGAGTGCCCTGGAAAATGTCACCTGGCTGCTTGGCATTTCATTTCACTAGAGGAGTTCACTAAAGCCACATGCTCAAAATAACCGTGATTGCCAAGCTCTCACAACAAAAGAAATGATCTTAAAAACTTATCTTTGCTCTATAGGCGAGTTTCCACTTATACCTTTAAAATGCCCTTTTCTCAAGGTCCTTTTCTGGGCTACTTCTTGAGTTTGGACATAATGTTTTTGGTACTTCTGATAGCCAGATCCAGATTAAATTTTGCCCACATATGCCTTAGCATGTGAAGCATGCAAGTAACTTCTTTAAAACCCGATATTGCCTGTATGATGATTAAAAACCTAAAGTAAGCAGTTAGAATGGCCTGAGTATTTTAAGAATTCTCACATTACAATTCCTTTATCCATCAAAATGCATCATACACACTCTCTTGATAGTTGTTTGCATTCTGCAGTTCCAAAAATTTTTCCAATTATTTCTTTCCAACTGACATGGGATATAGACAGCTCAAAGTTTGCTGTCTGCATCCCATGTCAGTGGGCTACTGCTGAAGATTGCAGCAGTAAATTTACTTTTATTGCAGCAGCAATAAAAGTAAATTTTTTTCTCTCTAGCGCCACCTCCGTGCCCTAAATCATCTAAAAGCCACTTACTACTGTTCTATTGTTCTCGGCATATATATATATATGTTCAACATAGAGTGCACGCGTACTGCCTTGCCAACTTGGAATATTTATTCTCCTGCCTACTTAAACTCTGTTTGTTTGAAATGTTCTGCCGCAGCAACCTCGAATATGAAACTAGCAGCATGTCTAAATAAATATAAATAACCAGTTCTCATTACGGTCAGCTGGTTTACGGTCATTACGGTTTACGGTCAGCTGTGCGCTTCAACCTAAGCTGCGTAACTGTAGCATTTTCCAGTGGAATTTACGGAACAGTGCTCGCGTGTGGAAACCAGCACGTCGGTGTATCGATGTGTTGTCATATCGACCAGCTTATGTGGAGTCTTTTTGCCACTATTCAGAATTTTTATAGCGGCAATCATTAGAGATATTGATGTAGCAGTGGTTCTGCAACTACAGAATCTGTGAATGATCCTCGGCAACCTGTTTCTGCCCGTTGCACTGCGCGTGCAGGTGATCTTCGTGAAGGAGTGCCGCCCCTTCGAAGAGCTCAACAAGCGGCTGTACCAGGTTGATGCGCGGCCGCAGATCTGCTTTGAGGATGAGTCGGTGCGGCAGGCGTATCGGGAGCTGCTCGACAACCGCTGCAAGTACTGCCCGCCGTCGTCGACCAAGGCACCGACCGTCTTCAGCAGCTTTGCCCAGCTGCGGAACCATGTGCGCAAGGAGCACAGCCGCACCTACTGCGACCTCTGCATCGAGCACCTTAAGGTAACCGGCCTGCAGCCACTGGCTCCTGTTTGCTTTATTGTTGTTAATATTTATAATTTGCTTTGATTGGTCGTGCCAACCATCATTTGCTTTCAAGTTTGCTGTTGTCGAGAGGGAAGCCCAAGTGACAGTTAGTGAGGAGGTCAAAATTTTAGCCACAACCATATCTTTAATGTTCCTTGATGAAGTTTAATCGTATCACAAACCATCTGCCTAACGTAAAATAATAGTAATATTTGGTATGAAGTGTATAATTAAAAATAATTGTATTGCTTAGAGGGCCACTGCCAGGTTTAAAAAAGAACGTATTATTGCTGCTGTCATCAGAAGGCCCCCATTTAGTGCACAAATATATTTTTTTACCATTTTGGTTAATCACAGTTCCTCTGAACACACGAATAAACTTTGTAGTTATAAGAAATCTATTCACCTTGCTGAAGCACTCGTGCTATGGAATGAAAATTTTGTTCGTTTTTCATATTCAAGTGCGCGTCCAGTAAAGCACACTAGTACTTACTGGGGGACTGCTAAGTCAAAACTTTGACTGAAGGATCTGAACTAAATATTGCGTGGGGGCATACGCTTCTACAAGCAGTATGAGAAGGGCTTGGCAGTATTATTTTATTTATGTACTTTTATTAATATAGATAACAAGAAAGGAGAGAAAACTATCAAAAAACAAGAAAGAGAAGAAAAAACATGTATTGTCGATGCCTTTGCTGGGCAACTTGGCGCATGTATATTTTGTGCAGAAAGAGTGCAAACTATCAAGTTGATAGCTCCTATTGACCACATTGTTTATTTCTTTGTTCTTCCAAATGCATGCACAATGATTCCATGCACAGATGTGTACACAGTTCGAGATGAACCTAAATGCAGCAATCGGTGTAATGATACTGTTGCACTTTTGAAATGCAGTAGCTGTTAATAAGCAAGAGCTTGCAAGTTTTCCACTATGCAAATTGTAAATGGTCAGATTTTTTTTTCCTTCTTCAGTAATACAAAGCTTTAGTTACAAAAAGTGCAGTTGTTTATCTTCTAAAGCTTGTGTGTGTACGGAATTCATGGATGGTGTACTGAGGAGCGAGTTGTACGGTAAAACGTGAGCATGATTTCAATGCAATATGTTTGTTTTGGATGTATTGAAGAGAAAAAAAATATTTAGCACTGTGAAAGTTGGTAATAAAGTGCTTAGTTTGACATTGTACAGTTGCCCACTGTTACAGCATTTTCTATGAAGGTCCCAATTTTCATGCATTGTTGATTAGAGTCCCAGATATTGAGAGAGGTCAAGTGATAAGGTTACAATAACTTTGTGAGATGTCTGGCCAAAAAAAGCTGCTGGAGAGTATTGAATTGATCGATCGGGCAACGGGAATGCTAGAAGAGCTTTCAGTGTGAAAGCGTTTCTCTTTCAGCATGACGACGAATTCAAGAATACAAGTCTTGACATTTGGGTCATTTTCTAATAATGAAGCCATTGGGGCTGTTAAATTAATGACAACGGAGTTCACTAGTATTGATTACTTGTCTAAACTGTGTTATGGTTGTGTCACATAGGTTTCCCGTTGGAGTAACAGAATGGGCGCCAAGGAGAGTGTGCCAGAAGCCAGACAGTGGTGGCGCAGTTTATGCCGTGATGAGAGTAGAAAATGTCGTGTGTAACTCCTTCAGGTCCAAGTTGTAATCTACTTTCTTAAGGTGCCTCAAATTCGCACTGTATAGTTCTAAGGCACTTTATTACATTCCATGAAGAAAGGTAAAGTAATATGTTGTTTTCTGTTAGCCTTAATTATTAATCCTAACTAGTCTGTAACTAAATTCCTAATCATTTCGTTTTCAGTCGTGCTCTACATTTGTTCTGTTCATTTGGAGTAAAGAAAAATACCGACGTTGGTCTTGGAACACAGCATGCCCGAGTCAGTTGTCTGAACATCGTCGTGGCTTCACTGATGTAGTTGGTTGCTGTCACATGCAGCAAACACGTGGTTGTTAAGCAAAGGGACAGTGATTATGCAACAGGTTCAGTTGATCCTTTGTGCAATGCTTTTTGCACCTTCATGGCCACTAGTCTAAAGTACATATAAAAGGAAGTTGCATTTACATGACAAAAAAAAAAAATTCAAAAGTCAAAAGTTCACATATTTTACCAGAGTATTCCGGATAGTCTTCAGGGCTAAAAGCTGCTCTACAGGCAGCTTGACTTGTTCCCTGAAGACCGTTACATTGGCTGCATATGACATCTGCAATACAAATGGGCACATAAGGTCATATTTATGGTCATACTCATACGTATGCGAGCAATACTGCAACAGTTGGGATTAGGATTACATCAATCAATACAAATAACATGCAAGTGTTGCAGTAAAATTTGCATTTAAATATTCAGTAAAGCAGGAAAAATTGATTGCAATAAGAACAACATTTTGTAAACCTGAAAAGTTTAGTTGAAGTACTACTGTGCGGATGTCGTGCCTCGAGGGGTTAACACTCTTTCGTTTGCCTGGCCTCGCAGATCTTCCCAGGGGAGCGGACGGCGTACACTCGGAGGGACATGGTGAGGCACCAGAATTATGGGGACGTGGACGACACCTCGCACAAGGGCCACCCCCTGTGCAAGTTCTGTGACGTGCGGTACTTCGACAACGACGAGCTGTACCGGCACCTGCGCCGGGACCACTACTACTGCCACTTCTGCGGCGACGACTACCGGCTGCAGTACTACCGGTGGGTTGCCGCTGCACCGTTGTCCGTCCTTGCATGCGTGAGCTAGGGATAAAGAACAGTGTGCATGTTGCCAACGGGGAAAAGCGTGGATGCAGCACCGGTCTCATACGGCTTTACTGTACAGCACAGTCAACCGGAGATCAAACTTTGCACTAGTCGAAGGAGATAACTTGAAGCAAATGAATTGCTATGCTTCACTGTATTAAATTGCTTCTTCATTTGTGGTGTAGCGAAACCATTTTTCTTTAACTGCATTAAAATGCCTCTTTGTTCATTTGGAATACATGGAAAGTATGAAAATGCTAAATTGGCGTGAAGGGGGTGAACTTGAGCACTGTGGTATTACCATATTTAGACGATTGTAAGTTGACTCGAACATAGCTCAACCCCCGAAAATGGCACGGCATAAAAAAAAAAAGAGAGAGAGAGAAGCACGCGCAGATTTTATTTTAGAAAACATTTTTTAACTCACCGTTTAGTAGTCAATATGCGAAAACAGCTTCACGTCAGTACTTGGAAGCTGTGCAGGAAAGCTTGCTTTTTGTAAATACGCAGAAAAAGTTTTTAGAAAGATTTCACAACTGAAACTTGTTTTCGATTCTAGGTTGACCTCCAACTGTGTATATATGGTAATTCAAATGTTGAAAGCAGGACAATAATTTTCCATGCCTTAAGATGATTGGTATGGCGCCAACAGAGTTCTCCAGGTTGAAATTTTTTTATTCTCTTAGTAGTTGTTGAAAATATAGAGGCGCGGATACGACATTGTGAGTTTGGTTGTTCACAGTGCTTACTTTAGTGGCGCGTGTTTTCTGCTTGCAGCAACTACGAATACCTGCGGGCGCACTTTCGAGAGGAGCACTTCCTGTGCGAGGAGGGCGACTGCCGCAACGAGACGTTCACGGCCGCCTTCCGCACTGAGATTGACCTGAAGGCCCACCGCGCCCAGCACCACAACCGGTCGCTCACCAAGGCCCAGGCCAAGCAGGCGCGCACCCTCGACCTCGAGTTCGCCGTCACCCCTCGCTCCTCGGCCAACTCTTACAGTGGGTCCTACTTGGAAATTGATTCGGCTTATAGAGTCGCCCATAATTACAGTAGACTCGTTAATTCATATAATTCCTAAATTTTAACAGCGGAGCTGCCTAAGCTGGCTTTCTGTTCGCGCAACGCTCACAAAAACTTGGCCTGGCTTTGCATAGCATAGATAGTCTAGGTCAAGATAAGTTAGGCCTGGCCAATTCTTTGTGAAACTGATTCTAGCAATTGATACTGTGTAATGTCCAACCAATTAGGTAATGTATGATTGCTCATTAACCAATTAATTACTGAAAATGGCTTGGCTGAGCTTAACCTAGCCCAAATGTATGGTCAATGGGTTGTGATGGCTAATTGATACCCAATCAATGGTTGATTGATAATCACTCAATAATTAATAAATTCTACATAGTGCTTGTTTGAGCCAACCACAGCTCAAGATGCATAGGAAACAAGGAAGGTTGACTGCCTTCGAAATGGCCGAACTAGCCAAACCGCATGCACAAGGAATTGCGTGCTGACTGAGGAAAAAAAAAAAAGAGACAGAAGTGGCCTAGCCTTGGTATATCGTGTACTGGGCGCTTCTTAAATCGACAATGCAGTACATTGGTGTCGTGCAGGAAAGCATCCCAAGAATGGGAACAAGAACTGACAATGGCATCGTTGTCTGTCAGTTCTCATTAATAATGTGTCTGACAAAGAAAAAAGAGCCCCAAAGAAGCAAAAAAATGATAGTGTGGCAGTCACGCTCACGTCACTGCACTGTTGAAATGTTGACTGAGTGGCAGCCCTGATGTGTATAAACGCGTTTTCTTTGATAACCGCTGCAAGTGTCTCATAATCATTCGTAACGCCACGCTTGTTCTTGTAGCCATCTTGATCAGCGCTGCTATCAAGCGCTCTGCCCTGTCATCTTGCCATGGCCGCTCTAAAGCGAGCTCGGAGCAAATTCGTCTGCCCGAGAAGCTCGGGCCACCCTGCATAGCACGCCCAGTCTCGTTGCAGCGGCACATCACCTCTCGTCACGTACGGTGCCGTGTTGAATTTATCATTGGTTCATCGTGACTGCTACGTCATATTAAAGAGCGGCCGCAGTTTGACACACATGATACAAATTGACAGCGGTACACTTTACTTTTTAGATGCAAGGCCGCTTAGATGGGAATCCGGTGTGTGGCGTGACCATCCTTATTTCGCATGCGCGTCCCCTCTCTCTCTCCTCTCCTATGCTCCCCCTGTCTCGTCTCGCAGGCAGCGTCTGCTGGTGAGTTTTTTTATTGAATTATCACCACCCAAGCACTCCACACAGATGGTTAAACAGCGAAAGCTGAAACGTGCGGCCCCGTTGTGTAGCAGTGGGTTCAACCAGACGTGGCAATGAAGTGTTTCGAGCTTGTTATGAGCTGTTCGTGCTTCTTAATAAAGTTAGACTCGCCTTTTTCTCAGGTTTACCACAGTGTTTATTTCACATGCCGCACAATGTGTCTCGCATGATCATGGTCATAGAGCAGTGTAATGAGCAGTTCAATGCGTTTTGCAATGCATTAATCACAGTGGTTGCTTTCAAACCACACATGGTCACAGACGTCGCAGCTGAAGCCATTGTGGCACTGGAGAAACTGGGGAAACTAAAAGCGGGCGTTCGCCCCGGCGAACACGCTCCAGCAATCATCACATTGATGCCACAACACCACGTTGTTGCAAGCGTCTGACCCTGCAAGCCAACTTGGCGGGGAGGTTTCAAGAGAAACTGTTGTGCTCTGGCTTGGGGCCACGGTTGCGACGTCTCTCACAACGCAGCCGATGACGCGCGTGGTTGGGAACGATGTAACTCGTAACACAGCTAGTGGAGACCATTTGTGACAGCGCTGCCAGATTTTCATTTCTCTTAGCCGTATACAGCTTTCGCTGTAAAAAAGAAGAAAGGTACCCAAGAAGGGGAGGAGACTACGTGTGGGCACGAGTGCGCAACACATTTTATTCCTAATGAAATAATTGGAAGCGCAAACCAATAGGACACAAGAAAGAGACAAACTGCGCTTGTTTGTCTCTTTCTTGTGTCCCGTTGGTTTGCGCTTCCAGTTATTTCATTATGAATTTGTACCAACTAGCCCGCCTGTCAACCCTTCTACATTTCATCCCTCAATTTCACTCGCGTGCATGCATATTAAGAATAGTACTGCTATTGCCACTTGTGTTTTAAAAAACTTCACTGGCATTCATGCATACCTGCCTGTGATGTTGCTGTGGCCCCAAAAAAACAGTAAACATCACACTAGTTGGTATGTTAGCCCAAGTCATTTTCATTATAACCTCTCATAGTTAAAACAAAATCCTGAGGTCGCCTCGAGTGACAGTTATCAATAATCTGCCATAATCAGAGGGAAATATGGCACAGTGAAACTCTTGTATCTACGCTAATTCTGAGTTGCATTCTATTCGGATTGTCTTCGTTTGCGGATAGTCTACGTAGATACTTCAGAAGACCCATGTAGCTAGATGCTTTGTCTTGCATAACGATGGTTAATTTATTTTGTAGTGACCTGTAAGGAGGTATTTTTTTGTTAGGACAGCACTAGAACATGTTCTATTTAATTTTGAGAACTACTGCTTCTATATGGAACTTCACAAAAGATTAAAAATATTTGCTTGCCATTAAAACTGACAACAAGGTCAGTGCTTATTGCAGTTTATTGTCCGTCTGTTTGTTTTGTGCTTGATTGTGCCCTGAATGTAGGCAGATTTCAATTTTGAGGTGCAATACTGGTGAATGAGATTTGTTTATGAAGGTCTTGTTTAAGGGAAAGACCAGCCGAGTGCAAAAATGCGCAAATGTTACCGATGGCCAGCATCGTTGCTGCAACATTCCTGCATTATTTTTAGTGTTATACCGAGAATTTTCGTGGTATCTGCGCCGGTCTGGTTCATCTTTTGTTGGTAAACCAGGACTAAAGAGTGTATCGAAAAAGACCTTCAAGGCAAGCTTCAGAAGTACCAAGAACATTTATTACCACAGAAGCCAGAGATGTGAAAAAGAACTACCGCTGAAACCCATGAACTCCCAATGACGTGCCATTTTGGGGTTTCGGCACGAAATGCTAGATGTTATTGTGACATTTGCTTGCTGTTCAAACGTTGAATCTAACATTGGGAAGTTAATGAAGGTAGAGTTACTAAAGGAGCACTGACACAAAATTTTGAAAGCAACATAATGATTGAGATAGATTTATCTAGAGACATGCGCATACGTACGCAGGTATTTATGCGTACGCATACATGCGCAGGTATACTACATCCTAGAACATTTTTGAAATCAGTTTTAAAGTGCATGCCACGTGACTGAGCAAGTTGCAGAGGCCTCTTGCAAGGCAGATGTCAATGCGGTGGGAGTGCAAATGAACCTGCGTCCCGAGTTTGTGTTGGCTGGCTGCTGACAAGCTCCTTGCGCTTCCACTGCCGGTGATTTTTTCCTCCGTGCCTGTGGCTTTGCGTGTGCTGGCTGTGCCGGCCCTTGGGAAGCACCCGCTCTGGCGTGCTCTTGCACGTGCTGCCATGTCACTGTTTGCGTGGTCAGGTGGCGAGCTGTGTTTACTTTGCCACTAAAACTCTTTGAAACGTAAACTGTGCGACCGGGCGCTCTGAAAACATCTCTAAATAAATAACCATCGTACACTCGTGCAAGCTGGGTTTCTACCTGTCTACCTATTGCAACAACAACAGCAAAAAAAAGTGCGAAATTTCATGTCGGTGCTTCTTTAAAAAATATGTTTATCAGTCAAAAAGGATTTATCGTGCTTTTTTGTGTATAACCTACACACTATGTGCATGAAATTTGGAATTAGTCGGGTTGCATGCTATGCACAAAACTAGGTGATCTGGTTTGATTCGCAGCAATAGTTGATGATGTCTCCTTTTCCTGCGACTTGTAGGGGAAAATGCACGTTAAGTGCAGGAATGGGTTATACGCGAGTGAATGCGATAATGTTCTTTATTGGTGTTTAATGCCGTCTCCTTGTGACTGGGCGTGCAGATTCCAGCGGCTACTACGATGACTCTGGTGGCCACGGGCGGCGACAATCGCGGCAGCCTCGGTCAGGGAGGGCTCCGCCGTCGGACGCCAGCAGGTATGCCTTCGTCTCCAACTTTGTCACCTTAATATTGGTCTGTTCCTATCCGGTGCGTTTTGCCGGCTTTACGCCACTCCTGTTTGCGGCACGCTTTTAGGCAAATTGTCAGATGTGGTGTTTTTTAATGATCACAGATAATGAATTCGTTTTCCCAGGGTCCTCTAAGAGACAAAACAGTGCAGCTTTGCCCCTTTTGATCTTAGTTTCATTGAGAGGCCTATTGTTGCTGTGAAAAGTCATGCTGGTCATGCTATTAATATTAACTCTTTCACAAACGCGGAAAAAGGCTCGATTTTCGACATCCTCGATCACATTTTTTTTCTTGGGTAATTTTTATTGCATTTTGCATTGTGATGTACAAAATTGTACACTTTTAATCAAGCTTTCGAATAAAAATAACCACAGGCTGATAGGTAGGAAACTGTTTGTTATATTATTTGTTAACAAAGGAAAAAACACGTGAAACCGAAATAAACAAAACATACACATGCAGCTGAACAAAGCTGCAAAATTAAATTTGAAATTCTGGAATATACAAAACGTTACACATGATGTCAGCTCACATTCTGGAAAGTTTCCTTTCTGTATGTAATAAACTCTATTTTTCATGACTCTTCAAGCTAGCGGTGGTGACTGCTGTGCCACTCAGAGAAGCTGTTGCAGGAGGATGTGAAGCATAGGGGCACTTCGCATGTGCTGCACTTGTTATATGTTTTCTGCTCTACTTTCTTCTTTCGATAGCACAGCTTGCAGTTTTTCGGCTTCTCCATTTTGCTGGCGTTAGTGGTGAATCGGCTCTAGACTTGGATATGGGGCACGGTCTTGATTGATGTCATTATAATCCATGATCTGCTGAATGAGCTGCTCTCTAATAGCAAGCTGGTCGAATAGGGCATTTTGGGCTAGCTCTGGGACTCCTGGGTTTTCTTTTCGATGGCCTTGGTAGAGGATGAAACTGTTGACACACGCTATGTCCACGGAGTGAAAAGACACGGTTTTACACCAGCGCACGCATTTCCTCAAGACATTGTAGGTTCCAATTATTTGGTCCTACTTATTCACACCCAGCATGCCAGCATTAGAGTCTTGGACTAGCAGAGGCCTCTTGATGGTAATCAAAGTCCATCTGTCACCTGTCTTCTGCCTTTGTGTGGCTGGGACAAACTGGTTGGCTGTATGAATGGTACTCATTAGGTTCACGGCACGCCGGTCTTTCCATTGCATATATAAAATGTTGCCATCGCGAAGCCACCGAACGTCTCCGCGCTGAGCTCTATGTTCCCAGGCAACATTCTTCAGCTCAGTTTAAAAACATCGGCGATCTTTGGTGGTGGTACCACGGGCAAGGGTTTTGCGCTCCAGCAGATGGTCAAAAAGTTTCGCAGAGGTGTAGAAGTTGTCCATGTAAATCCTGTACCCCTGGTCTATATACTCTGAGCACAGGCTGCTGATCACATCAAAAGCTAGGCCATGTGGTCCTGGCCTTTCACGCTTGCCTGTGTATACAGAGAACTGTAGGGTATACCCTGTTTCGGAGTCGGCTAGTACCCAAAGTTTGTAGCCCCACTTAGTCACTTTGTCCCGGATATACTGCCTCATTCCTGATCTACTTTTGGACTTCACCATACGTTCGTCAACCGAGAGGTCCCGCTTTGGTTGAAAAAGTTTTGCTGATGTCTTATTAGTGTGCTCCAAAAGCCATGACAACTTCCAGATCTTGCCAACAGTAGCCTTACTTGCGAAGTCCTCCGGGTCCGATACGTGTAAAAAGGCTAGTAGAGCTACAAACCGGTTTCAGGGCATAATCTTTGATGGGGGAAGGTCACTGCATATACTCCCCGTGCTCCAGTATAACTGCAATTGTGGTACTTCAGCAGTTCCCATGTAGATGATGATCACAATGAAACTCTAGCGGAGTCACTTTTTCCCATGAGCTGTCATGACGAGCATAGGTGGGCTTGTCAAGAATGTTCATCCAAGCGTACTTGTTTGTGTTGTCACACAACATCCTGATTACTTCAGCTGTAAAAAAACATCATAAAAAAAAAAATCCAGCGCTTTTGCGAACTGGGGAGTGCCACTCCGCAGTGTAGCGTCAATATGGACCCCAGGCTGCCGCTTGGGCTCCAACTTCACACGTCTTGGAGCATTGGGCAAAATATCGTCCCGGTATGTTGCGGAGACACTAAGGAAACAAAATAAGCAACTGTTGTCAGTTATAGACCGCACACTGCATTTATACATTGTGCGCGCTAAAATGAAACTTACGTGCGCACAGTGGCTGATGTCCCCGGCTGCTGTGATGAAATGTCACTGTCTAAACTGAAGTTCAATGATTGAACATCATCACTAGACTCCTCAGTGCTGCTGTCGTCAAAAGAATTGGACTTTAAAGCGGCCGAAAAGCTCGGTTTTGCCTTTTGGCATTGAGGAGTGCGCGGGGGCGCCGCAGCCATGATTCTCAAACTACGCCGTCACCCCGACTAAAACTTATATTTTTCTCAGTGCCTCCTTGTGGTAAAAACAGCAAAACGAAATCGAAACCAAAACTATAGTTATTTTTGAGCAAATCAGAGGGCGCCACACGTCCATAGCCACTGAAAAAAATTTTGGCGGTGCATTCAAACCTCGATACCATGGGATCAATGCCTTATGGCGCAGTTGCAAAAGAGTTAAAGGCCCCATGAACGATGTGTTCACATGATGGATGTGATTGCGGGTTAAAATGTTCACTTGACATGTGATGCGATTCATATATGTCAGCAGCCGGCATTCGCACGACAGGAAAGGATGTCGGTGTTTCGCTCTGAAGATTCGAAGTATGATTTTAGCCTCCATCATTTTTCAAATCACTTCAAGCGGCGTGAAAGAGGGCCCCAAGAAGGGGTCACGTACGGTGACCTAACACACAATCTGTTGGCTCGGATTGTGCTTTGCTTCATCATGCGAGTACAGCTGGGACAGTGATGAGAAATACAACTTTTTTTTTCATATTTGTAATGGAACTAAATATTCTGAAAGTAACTAAATAACCTTCATTTCTTTTCATTATTTATAATAAGCTATCATAGCAAAATTAATTACAGCTTATTTCTTTAGGAATAAATTATCCATTTAAATTCATTCATTGTTTTACATGGGTGTCTCATGCTTTGTTTTACTTGGGCATACCAATAGTGTCTTTGGGAAAGCAAATTTTTATGCAAAAAACAGCATTGTGAAAAACGGAGACTTAGTCATTTTAAATTGCATAATTTCTCCACATTGTAGCACAGATAAATGTGGCACCTTCCGATTTGCGTGGATGGCCATTTGTGTTATATCACGCGGAAGTACTGTTTGCTTTGTGTTTTATTCACGTAAAAAGATTTGTGCAGTAAAAACTTGTTAATTCTAATTTCATGGGACCGGAAAAAATGTCTGAATGAACCAAAGGCCGGGCTATCAAAAGTATATAGAAAACAATAAAAAATTATGTCAATACACTTTCATTTTCTTAATGAATACATAAATGCAGTGTTTACCTTGCATAAGAGCAGTGTGAAAGCCACATTTTCTGCTACTTGCAGCTTTGTTCACAGTGCGACCACAACCCGAAACTTCCCTCTTCAAACCAGGAATGCGCTAACCCAGAATTGACCCAAAACATAGTTACCGCACTACCGCACACAGTTCGTGCCAATGACGATGTCGATTGTGTCACGTCATTTTGGGTGTTTGTGACACCATTTTTGCTCTTTTGCATCACGCTTGCACTCAGTCTGTACCGAGAATCATTCGAATTGACCGGATTGTGGCGCAATATAGGGGGGTTGTATTAACATATCTTTTACTGTATTTGCAAGTGCTTGCTACAGACGGAAAACTCAATGTCCATTGACCTACCATAAGCTTTTTGGAAGGGCCTTGTGTGTTAAGTTCCTGGTGGAGCCGACTCATTCAAAGCACTGCAATTTGGGTTTCATATTTGCCTCTAAATGTGCGGGCCTTCTTTAGGCACAATTTCTTGGGTTAGGAGGTGCATGGTGAAGTGGATGTTAAATTCGGGTACGTATAGATATTCAATTTTTTTTCATTGCCATTGTTTTTTATACTTAATTCTTTTACCACCTGGCCTCAAGTTATGAAGCTTTTTTGTTGGAATTTTGGTGTTGAGTACCCTTTAAGCACCCTTTCTGAGGCTCTCACCTCAGCCCTTTTCAGTGTTAGTTGGTGGAATGTAGCCATTATTTTATTTCGAGAGGGGAATGGGATCATTCAAACTTACCAGTGCTCTTTCAATCTTTCTGATGGCTCTGCTTTAATACTTGTTTTCTGCAGAGAAAATCTGCTGGCCCGTTCGCAGGCGTCTGAGGACCTGCATATGACTTGGGAATTGCAGCCGCCGGTTGATTACCGCTGTGAGAAAGAGTTTCCACAGCTTGGCAGTGACAAAGGCACGCCAGCACCATCAACTTCTTCTGGGAGCAAGGCTCCTGTAGACCCATTTCCTGTAGCAGCTTCATCGTACCCTCCCAGGAGGCCGAACAAGGTCAACGTCAACAGTGTTGACGAATTCCCATCGCTCAACCCGTCGTCATCCACCGCCACACAGCAGGGGTCGGCAGCGCCACTGCCGGCAACCATGGTGCCGCTCCGCAAGTCAACTAAGGCACAGGGCAAGGGTCACGCCAACGGAATACCGCCGGGTCAACGGTCGGTTGGGAAGCAGCAGCAGGATGCCAACAACAACGGCCCCAGAGAAAAGACTACATTAGACTGGTTCGCGCAGCCCTCAGGAGACCGCAGTTTGGTGAAACCACAGCTCTCGACTGTTTCTGCAGTGGTGTCGGCGCGCCCTGCACCGGAGCTGGGGAGACCGAAACAGGCATTACCGAAGATGGGGCTGGACGAGGACTTTCCGACTCTGGCGACGCGCAGCGTCGCACGAATATCGATTTCATCCTCGCCAACGCCTTCGCCTCAGTCGGAGCCACCTTGGAACACAGCAAAGTCTGCAAAAATTAAGAAAAAGAAAAAGACGGAGGAGACGAAGCAAATGGAGTCGTCGAAACACCCGCCTGGAATCGAAATCAACAACAACACCACTACCAAGGCATCAGCAGCGGTCGCCAGCAAAGAGCAAGCAAGCACACAGCCTTTGGAGACGAGTAGCGAATCGAAGCCATCCTTCGTGCCTCCCACGAACAACCTGCTCCAGCTCATTGCAGCTGCGAGGAAAGGGACCACTATGCCAGCACCTCCCGAACCCGCCAGCGAGGTGGTTTGTGATGTCGACAGTTCGGACTCTGATGAACCGCCGAGGTTGACGGTTTCAGACTTCCCAAGCCTCAACGGTCGGCCACCGGGGACTGCCGCACCTCCTCCAGGATTCGGCAAACCCAAGAAGCCACCGCCCGGGTTCGCACGAGCCAACATGTGCGACATGCCCATGGGGACGCTGTCCTCGCTCGTGAAGGCGACTACACCGACGACGTCACCTGCAGTGCCACCGCAGTACATGCCTCCGGCGGGCTTCCAGGAGCGGAACCTCGCTCTGATACAGGATGTGCAGCAGACCCTGGCCAAGCGCTCCGAAGATGGCCTCTTTGCGACGTTCAAGACTTTGTCGGGCTCATTTCGCCAAAGTGTGCTGTCCGCAGACGAGTACTTCGCCCGCTGCATCGAGTTGTTTGGCTCCGAGAAGGAGTTCATGACCATCTTCCCCGAGCTGTTGTTCCTGCTGCCGGACATTCGGAAGCAGCAGGAGCTCATGGCCACGTACAACGCTCACCGCAAGGCGCAGGCAGCAACGTCCGGTGCACTGCCCAAGGGGCCACCTGTCCAACTGCTCGTTTGCGCCACCTGCCAGCAGGTGCTGTCCGCTGAGGACTTCCGGAGTCACCGCACCGTGCACGACCCCTCATGACTCGAGCTCACACCGTATGTCCAAGTGCCTTCTTTACTTCGGCATCTCGCCCCAACTTGGTAATGTGACGAGAATCAGGCGGCGTCACCGGACTTCTGTTGATGTCAAGAGAAGGAGTTTCACCGAAGCTCGGCCCTTCGACCCCATCGTCGGCGCCAGCTGTTTGGTTGCATGAAGCGGCCTTTCAATCTCGCTCGGATGCTTAGTGAAGTTCCTCCTACTCGAAAAAAGTCCTGACTGTGAATTATCAGGACTTAGGTGGAGTGGTATTTCTCACACAGAACTTGTTTTTATTACCGGAAAAAGGTGGCTCGCTGCCTCGTTTGTACTGTCCCCTGCTCGCTGTGTCACTCATAACAAATGTAAGGGTCATAGACTAAATAGTGTGCTGCCATCATCAACTGCTTCTTTTGTTCTCTCTTCGATGTTATTTTCAAGTTTTTTTTTCACTTTGGCTTTTGCAATGTCCAGTCTAATAATGGCTAGCCTCTTCATATGTCCCAAACTCACTGAACGCTTGTTCGAGTGGTCAAGTACTTTGATGTCGGAAATAGACTCAAACTTTTCAAGGTCCCCCATTCCCCAACGTACATCGGTTCAAGTTGTGTATTCTGATGTTGCTAGTCTGACGTGTGGCGTCGTGAGCCACTTGGGGCATGGTCGTTCCAATCTCTCAAAAGACGAAAGATGGGGGGGGGGGGGGGGGTGCTCAATGCGTTAGCGGGACCCCCCACCTTTTTTTTTGCTTAATGAAACATGTAGTGATTGCTTCAAACTAAGTCATCACTATCCCTCTCTAGAACCATGCTTTGCACTGTTCATTTGCATTAATTGTCACATAACAAGTGCTGTTGCTTATTAAAAATTTGCTTCTAATGCTCGCCTTTTTTTTTTCTGCTCTCCTGGTAACCGTGATCACTTGTGCCTTTTCACTGTAATGCCGTGTTATTTAATGTCTGAACTCTTTTTGTATTGGTAACAGTCTGCACACTTTCTTGTATACACTTTTTTGAGGTATGTAGAAGTTGTTGGAATGTACACGAACTGAAGCAGGTTTGCGGCAGAAATTTTTATACCTTTTGTTGAGGTTAATGCTTAGTTTCACGAGTCTACTCAATTTAGCTTATCACTGCTTTAGGTGTCAATAATGAACAAGTATAATTAAAGAGGCTAGTGCACTTTTTGAAGCGTTCTATTGCTTTTTGGAATATTAGCAATCTGTCACTCGTGCTACCTTCAAATGTAGGTGCGGTTTGTTGGCAGTTTATATGAAATTTTAACATGTTTATTTTTTGGGGTTCGTGCTTTTTGACATGCTCTGTAAGCACGAGTGAAGTCTCAAGTTTTTTTTTTCTTTGTACACGCAGGCTCATTTGCTGCTAATTAAGTGAAGTCAAACAGTAATTAAAGTAATTAAGTGAAGACAAACAATGACGAACAAGTTTAGTGTTGCCTTTTTTTTAAATTTCCACTAAATTAAGTTTGTTTACATTATTGAGAAACGATTGTTTTCTATTGGCTTCTTAATCGTGGTTGTGCAATTTAGGCTGCTTTGTGTACATGAAATGGGCTGTTGAACCTTTTTTTTTTCTATGACTTGTGGAATTTATGCCTGGCATTTTTATGTCCCAAGTTGGGCTAATCATGTAGTGTGCATAAAACCTGTGCTGCTCTCATTTCGAAATCACGAGCGTTTGTGTTTTATGGTGGCACTAAGGCCTTCCATCATGCAACGTTTCATCATTATCTTTCAAACTCCACCAACGCTTCATTTCAGCCAAGTTTCTTTGTCCCTAAAGACCGTGCGATATCGGTGGTTGCTAGTTCAAGTCGAGAGGTTGTCTTTTCTAGCAAGTCGCTTCACTCTAACACTGACAGCCTTTAGAAAAAACACACACTCTTTTTTGTGTCATCATTTGTGTGAACTGTATAACAGGTCCTGCAAGAGATGGCAGGCAATCCTGTGCAAAACTTAACAACTCAACATTTTTTTGTCAACTGCTCTGCTTCTTTTAATTGTGCTGGTTAGTTGCCATGTGCCTTGTTTAATGCATTGCTTGTACAGACATCTTTAATTGTGCAGGTGAGAGAGATGCCTTTTTGCGGAGGAGTAAATTATTGTTTTTGTTTTGAAGCGAGTCATCACTTATTCGCGCAGTACAGCGCTTGTGGAATCGAAACAAAATATGCAAAGTTTGTGCAACCATTGGTATGTGCACTTTGAGATAGCCGTGCTATGTAGTCGCCAATGGTAATGTTCTGCAAGTGTCCAGAGTCCGAATTTGCGGTACTACGAGATGAACCGAAGACGGTGCAAACAATAGTGCGTCCAGTACTTCGCTCTAGATTGTTTCATTTCAATTCTTCAGCACTGCACACGTTACTCAGACATCATGTTGGCACGTGTGGGTTTTTCCACAAACATGTTACCGACCATGTAAGCTACTGTGATACCGAATTGGGTCAATACAACGTCAAGTTTTTGAATTACCAGAAAGAGGAGGTTGAGAGGCGCAAGGCTGGTCGCATTAAAGCAGACCAGGTGCCATACCTTGCATTTCTTGAATGTTTGCAGATATGCAGATTATTTGTCAGGTGCAAACAGGCAGAAAAATTAAGCCGCCTTACACCGACAGTCTTGGAAGCTGCTACTTGTGGTAAATTTGCTATATAAGAAATGGTAATTTTTTGAACAGCGATGCCCCACCCTAGGGTCTCTTGAGCTTTTCTCTATAAGGCATCATTAAGTAGGCCGAAAATATATATATGTTATTCGAGTAATGTACTAAAATCCCAGCTTGGTTGGTCAATTCGATGTTGCAAGTTTTTGAACTATTTGTCTTGTAGCTCATCAAAAAGTTTTTCAACTTGCCATGCTCAAACTTTGGTCTTTTGAGCATGCTGAAATGTAGTACATCTTTACAGACTTCCCCCATGATCTAGGGGATCTGTTCTAAACACCTTTAAATTCGGCCATGTACTCCAATTTCATAACAGCGGCTTTTTCAACCACTTAGGGGAGGCCATGGCAGTACTCTGGTGGACCAATTGGTATTCAGACGGTGGAACTGATGGTGTGGTGGAAGCCTGCAGTGCCTAAAATAGCCACTTAGGCCGAAGCAGAAATCGCTGCAGCAAGGTGGTTGAGGAAGTTGGAAGGTGGTGGTGGTGGTGTTGCCGCAGGCGGGGTTAGCCTGGCCTGCATGCGGAGGTGCCATCACGGTCTTTCATTTTTACACCCTCCTAGATTGTTTAGCCCTTCCTGTCACATAAATGTTGTCTACTGACATAGCTGCACATAATTTCATGAGAAGTAAGTTTGTCATATTTTCTGGTGTTACATGCTTGCAAAGACTGGGAATGGTTGCCCTCGCCCGAGGAGGCCATAAACAGAAACACAAGCTGCGAGGGTTGTGCTTTCATCCCTGCTGTGGCTGCTTTTCAATCGGTAGTTGCCCATTTTGAATACAATTCAAGCAAGTGTGGAGCACCTGAGGGGCTCGGCCCGTTGATCTATACATCTGATGGCACGATCAGGCTCGCAGTAAAGCACTCGCTACAGGCCATAGCGTGGCTAACAGTGCTCAAACCCAGATTAAAATGAACAAGCAAGGTCAAAAATGATTGAACAGAAATGGCTAAGAAGTAATGGCAAGGATTCATATTGCTAAAATGCTTCGCAAACATGAGGCTGACTCCAGGGAAGCGCGAGAGAGGGTGCCACTGCCTTGCCAAACAAGAAATTGCCCCACCCCCTGCGCCGCCTCTGTGTCTGCACTGGCACGGCCCCGAGTTGCTGCGTGACTACATCTGATGGGGAAAACAACCGGACAGAATTCGCTGCAGATGATACACATCGCAAATGCCATAGCAAGTGGAAATTCGATGAAACTCGGCAAAAAGTAGCACAAATGTTGCACACCGGGAACGTGAGTCTGCCTAGCAAGATTCTACTCGTGTCGTGGGAAACCCTCCACGCTTACCTCCCGCATTTGCATCGTTGACGCTTCGGTAAACGAAGCAGTGAGATGTCTACGAGAGAGAATCGCGAGTTGCCGTTCAGTTCACGTCCTCGGGTTTCACAGCAGTGGAGCTGCCACAGGTTTTCATTTTGTTCTGGCCTTCTGCTATCTTTAGACGAATATTTAGAGAGCAGCTTTTTGTGGTGGCAACTGTTCCTCAGTATATAGCCTTTGGGGAAGTGGTTATTTTCTGTTCAGTAATAGACAGCACCAAAGACCTGATCACTGGAAGAACATGTACATACAGTCACGTCCACTTAAAACAATACTATTTAATGCTCTCAAACCTCAGTAAATGAACCCAATTAAAACAAAATATGGGTTATAACAAAGTAAATAAACAATAGTCATGCAATGCATATAGTGTTAAGAACACATCTTTATAAATATTATTTGGATACAACTTATTTTCGAGTAAGATACTACTTCGTTTTAGTGAGGTTTGAGTGCACAATACATCAGATATAACGATGAACAACAATGGCACCACCCACTTTTGTATGCTTTCTATGGTAAAATGAACTATTTATTATGATGCTCCAGTGCCGCAATATCCGATATAGCGATTGAATCTAGCTTCAGTGCATGCTGCAAATGAGTCTCCGCACCGTGCTGCCGATAGTGATGAGGGTGACAACACTGACGGCACAGTCGCGCAATCTGTGCAGGCACTGTCATTGCATGTGGCCAAGCAGATCATAGGGTCTCTCCAGGACCTTGTTTTTGCGGAGGACCTCTTTCTTACCAATGTAGAGCAGTTAGATGCCCTTCAGAAAGATGTGTGCCAGCTATGCATGCAACAATTAAAGCTTCCGAGCTATGCCTTTTCTGCAAACAATTAGTACACAGTTTCACTACCTTTATTTCATGCAAATTTAACGTTTTCATCTCCATTATAGTATTTTTTGTCAACCTGTGTATAACATTCTTGGTTATAACGATAGAATTTCCCGGGCATACTTAGACATTGTTATAATTGGAGTGCACAAGACCAGATGGGTGCTTGTTCTGCATGCCATCATTTTGTGGCTATGCTTTTCGTGCCAAGTCTATAATACTGATGCTGAAAGTGCGCCAACTGTACTAGCAACAAGAGATGGCCACCGCACACATTGCGACTGCTGCATTGAGCCAACCTTTCCATCTGCTGGCAAGCACAAAGGACACATAATTGCTCGCACCAACCAATCGTGCAAGAAAAAGGGCAGCAAATGAAAGCTGAAAAGTTCCTCTTTTTAGAGACTTGTTGATTTGCCTGTGCCCGTGCTACCCTTTGTAGAATACCATACCATCAGACATGTTGGCAGGAATAACCACGGTAGTGACACTTTACGGTGCTTTTGCAGCCAAGCTGTGTGTGGCTAGGAAGTGGAATGATGTGTAGGTTCGCGAGTGTGCGGAAATTATAAAGAAGCAGTGCTAGCATACGCCACCTTGAAGCAACTCCACACGCGCTAGATTCTATTCAAGTTTTTTCAGCGTGGACAGCTACAAATGCAACTTGCCACCGCATGAATTGCTGCCCATAAAGTCTTTTAGGTGCTCTTAATATTATTTAAGTTAACATCACCAAGCGTGAAGTTTGAAGCACGTATCTCTTAAATTTAGTGGTAGAGAAATCAAAAGCTGCAACAGACAACACATCAATAGATACCGGTTCATGATAAAGACTAGTGCTGCATGTTTCAGCTTTCTTTAACTGCCTGTATGGATTGATGGGACAGTCTTTTTTTTTTTTTCTATGACAGCATGGCAAAAGCATATGTAGCGTGGGTATTCCTCCAGAATTTTAATAAACAGCATGTTGACCAGTTTCGTTGCTGCCAATGTATGACCTATGCATCACTGAAGCCGATCGTGATTGGTACCTCCATAATACGGCTCTCTTCCTATGGGTGCGAAATGCTGGTACATTTGTTTTTTGCGTAGGCTCAGATGCATGTTCAGGAACACCACAGGTGATCGAAATTATCTAAAAGCTCCCCTCTGCAACACGTCTCGTAACCGCGTTGTGCTCTTGAAGCTTCTGAATTTAAGTCTCTCTGGTTATAATCTTCACCAGCAGGTGGCACCACAAATGTATGGTTTTGCCATGAAGGAAATAGGTTAGTAGGGATCTTGCGGGAGCATGCACGTTGGGGCAAGTTAGTGATAAGTCATTTTGTGATGAACAGCACGGAGTTTTGAGCGCAGAACAAAGAGGAAAGATAATCTGAGTGCTGACTATCAACTGAATAGCTTAGATATCTTGACAACTCTTAATATTTATTCACATGCACATGGAACTCTGGCCTCTCATTATGTCAGTGTTTCAGTCCTGTGATCATTTAGCACGCATGATTGCTTGCAAGTTATTTTAATGTAGTATGAATGTTACTTTTTTCAGTAAACCTTTGGTACATAGTCGGCGCTCGTCTTGCGTTTCTCCTCACATGCCACGACCCGCAGGTCGTAGGGTCGAATCCCAGCCACGGCAGCTGCATTTTCAGTAGAGGCTGAACTAGTACTTGAAGCCCGTGTACTTCAAGGCCCGTGCGCGGTAGTTAACCCTAGACAGTTGAAGTTACCGGAGCCCTCCAATGGCGCCTCTCATAATCATATCTCAGTCTTGGGATATAACCTCAGTGATTGTTTTTGTTGTGTTTTTCCTCTTCATTTTGTCACAGTTTACACCAACAGCCTTTAGCCTTTTTAAAAGCAACGAGACTATAGCCCGGCTATAACATTTTTCTCAGCTGTTTATGCTCACCTCTTTATCTCACCATCATCATCCATTACTCTTTTTCTTCCTCTTCCCCCTTCCTTGGTGTAGAGTAGCAGACTATCAATCAGGCCGACCTCTCTGCCTTTCTGTAAATAAACCTGTCTCTTTCTCATCGCAGTTAAATATTTAGCGCTTTTGCTTGAGAAAAGGAGTTTTGCGGTATTACCAACTACAAGCTCCTGCGTCATTATGGAGTACATCTGCAAGATGTACGCCTGTCGATATAACCTTGCTTTGGTGCCTGGCGGCAACTTGGACGTGACATCACAATGCTGGCCTAAAAAGGAGTGCGATGCTGAGATATTGCAGCAAGGCTGAACATTCCCGAGAGGGCATAACTGCTTCAATGCATATAAACACATTTCAAAGCCCATCTCTACAATAGAAAACCGTACAATGGGCTTCTGCAAGATGTCACGTATGTAATGCTTTAACATCAAAAAACACTAACGATGATCAAGTTGATGACATAAAGGCATCTTTATTTTCTGTCCAGGAGTATACATATTAAAGCAGCTAGTTAAAAGGTGTAAACTCTCACATACAAATACCAACTGCACATTGAAAAATACTATTTGGGCTAACAACATATTGAGCATAGGCCTTTACAAAAAGACTCGTGTTAGAAACTGCTTGTTCCTAGGTGCACTTCGGTGCGTGATAAAACAAGTATTGTGCTAACGTAGGGTCAACTCCGAATCGGGCTGAAAACTTCTTCCAGCCACATTTGCAGCGGCAGATCGCAGGTTTTCGATGCTCCTGTAATTCACCCTACCGGAAAAAAGTTTTGTCAAACAACATTGTTGTGCCTTTAAAACTATTGTGCATGATTGTGAGGGCTTTAAGCAGCCATGTGACATTAGGCAAAGGGCCTGACAGTGAATCGTATTTTGGAAGGCCATTCATCGTGACAATAGGGCTGTGTGGCATGCCAAGGACTTATCTGTAGCGTTGTAAAGTCCTTAAAAATGAGACAAAAAAAGGATAAGGCTGCATATGCGGCGAGTATTATTCGTTACTGGCAGCGTGAAACGATGTTGCAAACATTTTCAGCGCGGCAGTTTCAACAAGGCATAGGAGTGAGCTAGATTGCCATCCATTGCTTGTGATACGACGGAACACCGCAGCCACCCAAGTTTGTTAGCCTCTCGTCGTGCTATACACAAGCATGTAACATACGAGAACGGGAGCTAATCTAGAACAATTACAATGGATGCTTTGGCTACACCAACATTTATCAGTGTCAATTGGTCGTCCACCTGAGGACAAAAACATTTCCTGTTGACCTCAAATCAACCTCACCTCTTCCTTTCTCTGGGAACAAACTAATTTCGTCACACGACATGTTTGTATGCCATTTCTGACTGTTTTTCTTCTACTGGCATCTTCAGTACAACAATTTACTAGCTTTTATTAGCCTTGTTCATCACATAACCTGCCCAATGTCATTTCTTCCTTTTAAAATCAGCTAGTGTAATCAGCTAATAATCAAACTGCTACTTTTAGCTATCTCATTATTAATTAAGCCCATCAGGTTTAAGTCTGTCGCTTGCTTCCGAAGTTCAAGATATACTAAACAGAAATTCTAGAAGCCTCAATTAATAGCTTGAGTTGCGAAAAGTCAACATCCTCTTTTTTTGACAGAAAGGAAAAAATGGATTATTATTGGACAAAGCAGAAGCCAAGCACTTTCTTGTTGAATTATGCACCCAAACTATGGCATCAGTGAATTAACGATGATGCCACAAATTTTTCCATTCTTTCACAAGTTCAAGACCCTTGTGGGAAGGGACCGTTGTTTGAATCTGAGTATATCGTCTCTACCGGGATTGCTGAAAGCCTTTGACATCTTTAGAAGCCGGTGCATGAAGTTCAACTGTTTGAGAAGTCTGGCAAGTTGGAGAGGTTAGTAAAGGCGCTTGACTTAAGTGAGCAGCTCGCAGAAAATTGAAGAAAACAGCATTCAATATTTTGTTGCCTTCATTTTTTCTTTCCTTCTGACAGCCGTTACTTTCATTCATGATAGGGCTCAACTATCTTTAATTCCAGAAGGGACGACTGTTAATGCAAATTCAACTTCGCATGTTCTATTAGCATTTCTTTAAGGTGGACTAACTGCGGAGCTATGGGGCATATTTTTTTATGTCCATGTCGTGTTAAATGGTAAATGTAAGTCACTAAAACCATCAGCCTAATCCCACATAATTGAAAAAATACAACTCATGCAAAGAGAAGGCTGGCTGGAAAGCTAAAGCTGATTGAACCTCACATTTCATTGTGCTACGAGTCTCGTTTCACGAGACATAAGAGATAAATGAGTATGATGCGGAGCTGAGGAAAAGATGTTGTAACTTGTACAAAATTTCTGAGGTGCGTTTAATTTAATCATAAACATGCTTTCAAAAAAAAAGAATCTCAAGAGTGCTTCGATAGACACCTACATCATATCATTATGTGCACAAAGAAAAAAAAACACAAAAACTGGTGCACTTCAAAGCAACAATGTTGAGAAAATGTGTGAACAGCCAAACTTTTGCCCTAAAGGACATTGTGTGTTGACTCGCAAAATGTGCAAATTTCATTACACTGCAAGTTGTATTGTATTACTAGTCTTTTATGAAGAACTCGTATTTTGCTCTTGGTCAGAAGTGTATGTTTTCCATAGTCCCATGAAATGAAGAATGGGCTAGGCTGCTCAAGTAAGATTAACTCTTCACTGAAAGCATTATACACAAAACAAATCTGTCACTACGATCAAAACTTACAAGTTAATTTGCACAAGGTTCTTATTAGTATTATACATGATATATTTGTAGAATAAAATACATCCCCTGATTATGGCTGCTAAGCAGAGCATAAGGTTAGGCAAGTTGTTGGATAGCTGAACGAAAGATTCGTGGCAGCAACCTGGTCCCATCCAATCTTTTCTCTTTTTTTATTCCATTCTCATTTTATGCCACAAATATTTCATTAAAAAAACGGCAGCTAAGGTACGCAACCAGGAATTGGAGAAGGGTGGTGGTGGAGACGAGTGGAACACTAATGGGCAAGCAATCACGAAGGTCCTTCCACATTTAGAGCTAAATTACAACAGTTTTCTTTTTTTGCCCTCTTTGTGTACATGGCAACAGAAAACTCATCCATTAAATATTTCCTTTCAGTTCAATATCACGTCAGTTACACATATGAGGCCACAACATTGTCCTATGGTCACAGCATGCCATACTCTGCAGGTACATGTACAGGAGATACAAGGAAGGCTGCTGCAGAGAAGGCAGCAAGCAGAATCAACATGGCATATTGGTTATATGGTCAGCAGCAGAACAAGCACACCTAATTATAGGTTCTGTAAAGCTTTTCGGCTTTGACAGAACAAGCGTGAAATACGCATTTTGCATTTTCTGTATGACAATCTTAAACAAATGAGTTTGGATTGCCTGACAACCACTACAATGTGGGAATTCGAAATTACCTACGCAATACAATCAAGAAAAGCTACAATACAGTATTAACTCACTAGAGAAGGGCAAAATCAAACTTACCAATCAATATATGGCTTTGACTACGTTATTCCAAAAATTCAGTCTCTGTTTAGACATTTTCTTATAAAGTGCAATGGGCAAAGAGCACAGACTTGTGGACATGCAGAAAATATGTAGCGATAATATGAATACAGCTTATGAAAAAAAAAAAAAGAACACTGTTTAGAACTTGTTCTAAACCCAAGGAACCCAAGGAAACCCAAGAACCCAAGGAAAAGGAACAAATAGCTATGTAGTGAATAACAAAAGCTCACAGCGGCAATAAAGAGTAGGCTTTGTATCTTTGCAACTCGTTAAAAATTAGCAATCTCATTGTACTTGGAACATTTTACTTTCATTCTATGTATCATAATTTATGTAATAACACGCTAATGTGAAGTCACGAGCAAATGAACGTCCTTTAGCACACTCTAACCACTCTACTTGTGTACGAACATACATTTTAGGCCACAAAAGAAGGCCGGAGTTTTCACTTCAGAAAGAGAATATATTTGAGCTTGTGCTGAAAGGGCTGAGCATTTACAGATGGAACTCTGAAAAAAATTCTGGCCATTTATGTGGCCTTGTTGAGAAGAGAACCAGTGGCTACACTTTGATAAATGTTACTTGCTTGGATTTCTTGTCTATTTCTGTTTGAAATCCCTTGCAACAAGTAGCCGTGGAACTTAGTAAAAAAAAAAAATGCTGCATAAGAAGATGCAATGGTCTTTGGGAAAAGGCCGAGAGAAAGGATTGCACGAAAAATCGGTTATCAATATATATTACCAAAATACGTTTTTCGACTTTACATTCTGTTCTAACCTGAAGGTCTGTCTTACAGAATCCGGGGCTACGTTGTATTGCTAAATTAGTTTGTGGCACTCACTGTTGCATTCAAATGAATTATTGTTCATTATTATCTCAATTATTATACAGTGCTAGCAATGAATAACCTTTCATTTAGAGTAAACAACAGCCTCTTTCAGTGTTGCACTAAGGTCAGGTGTGATAATGTTACCCATTGATAAGGTAAAAATCTAGAGCACACAAAACAGGCTCCATTGTTCGTAACCTCTGGTCAGGTATGCATGTCGTTGTGACTGATTTTACCCGGCGGAAATCCTCCTTGTTCATGCTAACGTATGCAGACAGCAGTTAGGCAAACACTGCTGGTTAATTTTGTTCGTTGGTAAATCTAGCTTTCTGTCGTGTGAGTGGCCATCTTGATGACCTTCTCGTACCATTATTATACTAGAAAGTGGTGCACAGAAGATTGTACAAGAATACTGTAGCCACCAACAATCACTAAGGTACAAGTGTTGTTTCTATGGGCTCTCAGCAAAAGCAAGACTTCACCAGGATGACATTTTGATTAGTGATCTTCGTACACCGTCACGAAATGCAAGAAAATATTTTCGCACACACGCAACGCAAGGTCAACCACGTGTAAAGTTGATAAGTCAACCACAACTTGTCAATGCTACGTGTGAAATAAAAAATACCAGTGAAGCTAATCTTTTAAAAGAAAAAAAAAACAGCACGAACATTAACTGGCTAAGTGATACACTTTCTATAGCAACCTATGTAACTTGTAGATAACTCTTCGTTATATTATTTATAGTATGCATTGTTAGTTTCTTACCCCTTTAAAGCATAGGTATTCTGGTGTTTATATCACACATACCGCCAGTAAACATTTTAGTGGTGAGTTAGTGCTGTATGCCATTCTTTTGTGTTATGTGTGAATTGTTTCTGCATGCACTGCGAGTTGAAAATAACAGGAGCACAGTGTTCCTACACTCTTATCAGTCCTGTAAATACGAACGTGTGCATTCACAATGGAAAAAGTAACTGATTTCTTCATGAGGTGTTCTGCAAATGAAATTCTGTCAAAGAATAAAACAAAGAAGCATTATATCTTGTCCAGCTGATCTTGAAGCAACACACCTATTATGATGCCTATTGTTTTGTGCTTCATAAACAAATGTTTGATCTTCCTTGTGTAGTTGTGTCGCCTGTTCTCAGTCGTTGATAGATGGCACGAAAGGGAAATATTTTCATGGCCTTGAAAATACCACAAGAGAACAAAGAATACTCATGCGGTTTTTCCAGAAAGCTAAGCTAAACTCTGTTGTTCAAGAAAAAGTGATCTTTCTCTGGAAGGATAAATTTGTGACTACCCTGGAAAAATATTTAAACTGCGATAGACTTCCAGACAAGGTCGGAACAACTTCTTGTTCATATTCAAAGCATTCTTCCAGAGAAAGCTGTATGGGTTTTTTCGGCAGCTATATAGATGTATACATTCTATGTTGTACAAATGGCAATGGTTTTCTTACATAAAACCTTCTCCGTTTTGAGGCCGCTGTCGATCTGATTTGTCATGGGTGACTGAAGACCAAGTTACCCTGGCGGCTTCTTAATGGTAACCGTCGAGACCTCTTCTGCAATGCCGCAGAGGTTTTTGCCAATGGCTACGTGCAAGTAGCCGCCATGACCGAACTGGGCACCCCAGGAGTTGCGTACAATGTAGTGCGGCACCTCGCCCCTCAGGTCATACCCGACCACCTGCACCGCATGGTTTCTTCCGGTGTCACAGTGGTACCGAATAATACCGCCCAGGTAATCCTGCCATGCTGTGGCATCCACAGCTGTGGCCAGAGGTCCAACGTTGGCGATGAGGTCCAGCATCCGCTCCTCGTTGCCCACAAGCCTCTCGCAGGTGTAGTCGATGAGCTCGGTGGTGACGTCGCTTGTGGTGCTTCGACATTTCCCGGTGGAGGCGGTGAAGGGGTAGGAGCTCTCGGTGACGAGCTTGATGCGGTTCTGCCGGAGCCACTGCATGGCGGCGCAGGTGTCGCCTCCGTTGCAGCCGTGGTTGGAGTTGTTGGAGCAGTCAACCATCTGCTGGACGCTGAACTCGAACCAACTTGCCCGTCGCGATGGCGTACATGCTCTCTACGTTCTCGACGGTGCTGATGGCCCAACACGCGCCGCAGTTTTGCTGGTTCTTGACGGGCGTGACGGCGCTGCGGTCGCGCCAGTCGAAGTGGTCCGGGTATCGACCCCGCACCGGGGGCACCTTCTTCGGATCGACAGGTTGTAGGAGGAGCGGGCCTATGTCGTTGTCGTCGCCTAGTGGCCTCAGGTCGGGGAAGAGCTGCCGAACAATTTCGTCTAGGTCTGCCGGAGGCGACGACAGGACGTTGCGGCGGAACTCGTCCGGCGTGAAGTCCGAGAAGCGGGTCAGTCCGTAGCGCGCAGTGTCGCCCGTCGCGTTGCGGCGCGCGATTCGTTCGAGGCTGTCACGGAAAGCGGCGAACCGCCGTTCGTGCTCTTCGCTGCCAGGCTCGTAGCTCTTGTTGTACCGGGCGACGTACTGGGCGAAGGCGTCTTCGACGCTCGACGCCACGATCGGGGGCCCCGAGTCGTCCGTGGGAGCCGTGATCGAAGCGGCCGCCACGAATGACAGCTGTAGCACCGTCGGCAACAACGCCAATGGAGTTCGCCGCATCGTCGCCGTGAAACCGCCGATCGGTCGAGCGCCGTCGAAGTGTCCGGTACACCCAGGCGGGCGACACGGTCCAGCTGATATCTCGTTCCGAGACATCACATATCGAAGTTTAGCTTCCCGTGCCTTATCGCCTCTCACGCAGCACGCTTTTATCGTGCGTTGGTCCACGCGCGGTTGTCCCGGACACGCACGCAAAGGGGAGCTCGCGATCGCGCCAACTGTTGGGTGAAGTGGGCGTATGCGGGTGACGCAACCACGCAACGCCAAGCTGGCGCGCTGTTCCGTTAACTGGCTCGTTTATTCGCATCTGAAAGATAAGCTCGCCGCGTGGCTGTTTCGTCGAGATAACGGCAATAACTGTTCGAATGATTCCCGCCTCTGAAAACATCAGCGTCCGTTTTGTATGAAAGTTTCCCTCAACACCGTTATGAAATTCGCGCTCTTTAACGCTCGTGGAGTGTACTACCCAAATCCTTCGCTTCCTCGACGTGGCCATAATTGATGTGCATCATATCATGACTTGGTATTTCGACTATGCGTTGCGCAACCTTCGTAAAGAAGTAGCGACTTTCGTCTTGCAAGATTGCGTAGAAAACACAGACTGCGCGAGAAACAACAAACACAGAAAGAAAATAATGACTGTGTCACTACGGCTACCACTCTTGCCAAGAGGGCGAATTGTGCGAGAGGTACGATTCATCGTAGGAGAGAGTGGATATGGTCTGTGTGTGTGTCGCGGTTGTTTGTTCGTGCGACGTTCATGTAGCAGGCTGCACGAACGTCGCAGCATTTTTCGCCGACATCGCGCCTCGTCGCGCGTTGTGCGATGATGCGCATGTGAGCTCAGCCGGTGCCCCACGCGCCTAAATGAGCTGCTGCTGGTCGCCCCGCGTGACTGCAGCCTTGCTCGGGCACCGCGGCAGCATCCACTCGCTTTCGCGTCGACGTTGTCCGCGCTTGCACGAGCCTGGGAATCGAAAGTGCCTCTGTAACGCCGCGGTCGTCACAAGGTCCTTGTTTGCGAGCGCATTGCCAAGGTATCTCTTGTACTCGTGTCACGCTGCATGCTGCTCGTTGTGGTTTCGCTTCCTTGGAATCGAGTGTATTCAGGGGTGGAGTAACCACCCTTACTTTTCTGGTTTTAGCCTTAGCCTTTACTCGTAACTCGGCTCAGCGCTTCCGTTATTTACGCAGTTTTCTTTTCTCCGCAGCGTACTTGTCCGCGATTGGGTTCCGATGGATGCTTAATCGCGGTCGAAAGTATTGCAGTTTCACACATAGCACTATCAATCGTGATCGAATATGAATATCTTGAACGTCATTGGCTCTCGTCATCGGCTTACACCCAGTAACAAATCGCCATCGAGGAACTCGATCCTGATCGGCCCGGTCGTAACAGAAAGATATCTGTGGCACCTGTGTGATTAGTCGCACGAAACGAAGCAAAATTAACGCGATCGCCAATCTATCAGCTCATCAATTGATAAATGATTGTGATATGATAAGAGGTTTCCAATGTGGTATTTTTTTGGAAAAGTGTCATCCGCTATTTTGGACAGGGACTTCTAATCGCGGTTCAGAATTATTCATCCTATAGTTCTCGCTCTTTAAAAGCGCGAGCGTGTTTTTGTTTTAAGTCGCGGCATGGCACGAATGTTTCAAAAGCACATGCACACTGCTATCAATTATGTTCTTGTGTGAGGATACTATAAAACGATCAGAACAATTGTATATGTGGATCTCAGTGAGAGTGACACGTTCGGGCATGAATTATGCTTTCTTGAACATTGTCAACAACAACAAATATTTTAGTGTGATGACTTCAGCACAAACCAAGACGAACCACAGAAAACACCAGAAACAAGCACTTTGTGGTCCGTCTTGGTTTGCGCTGAAGTTTTCACCTTAAATGCTATGTGTCAACTTGGCCGGCTTAACAGATGTTTTATTGAAGCAACAAAATTATGCAACATCAAAATTAAAGCATTAGGGCAGTGCATAATTTGTTGCTGCACCTAGTTTTGCGACTTGATTTCAATTCGAAAGTTGTTTTACCAGGTGTTTTTAAAGTGACAGGTGCAGTTTATAGTTATGGTTTTAACCAATGTTAATTGAACATCCCTATAAAAGCAAAAAAATGTAATAGAAAAGGTAAAAATTTAAGGCATATCACTGCAAAACAGAGACTGACATGCACAGCTAGGAGCTGTTCAGCAGCAGGAGGTCGTTCTGTGGTACACGTCTCTATGTGCCCTAACTCGTTTTTTAACGGCATCAGAGAATTGAAAGAGTGAAATTCACAAAGCAGTGGGCAAGCTTATAGATGCTGCGTTAACTGATACAAGAAGAGGCATTCTACAGAATGCTTCAACCTGTAATCAAATGACGCATGATGTTTCACAACTGAAAATGAACCGGACAGTTACTCCATCTAGACACTCTTTAACCAAAGCTTCTATCTCAAATCGCTTCCTTCATTGCGACCAACATAGTCGTGCAGTTTCTGCAAGTCAGCAAAGTGAAGGAATACTTGGGACCTTTTTAGAATATGTTGTTACTGAAGGGGGCAAACTAGTCTTTGGGAGTGAAAAGTGACCAAAAAATGCATTTTTTAAAATTGGCATATTTGGCTTTTGCAAGTATTTTTCTATCTCTAAGCAAATTTTCACCCATCAGGAAGTGGTAATTTATTTGTAATGTCATTCTGGACTGTCCAGATTCTTGGTGCTAGCACAATGCAGAACCTGCAAAAAATGGGCAACCTACTATAATTTGCCAGCACCTGTGTCTGAAGCTCTACTACCAATTTATGAGTGCCTGTATGAGCATTGCAGAACATGCACACCGTGATTGGTGTTTTTTTTTTTTTTTATGGAACTGGGTGTTATCAGTTTTTTTTTTTATTTCTCAGAAAAGTAAATTTAGGACTGTTCAATATTGAGGCCTCAATGTCTTTGCAGCTAGGGCAGGCACAAGAATAATTCTTTTTGCAATAGAAACCTGTACGTGTATAGAATGCAAGTACGGGAGCAGAATTTAGAGCACAAGCCTTTTTAATTAATTACTCATCAGAATTGTAACACAATTCCAACTGCTTTTGAACATGGATAGTTCATTTTGGTGTAAAATAACCAAGAAAGGCCTAAAAACAAAAAACTCTTGCATACTTTCAATCTCTAGTTATTAGTATATGTTGCAATATCTTAAACTGCTGCTTTTAATTAAGCACTTTTTTCTATGATGGCCTTAAATAATAGGTAATGAACTTAAGTTAGCTCAGGAATAAAATGAGTTACAGGAAAAGTATTTACATATTAGAAATCAGCATAAAAAACTGTATAAGCCTGTGCACTTTAATCAAGATTACTAAAGAAATAAAGAATGTCTAGGATGAGTCTGCCCCTGAAAGCATGTATTTCATTTTCACAATTTCATTCTAAATTTTGTGCTGCGAAATTGGGGTGCAGCCCTTGCCCAAGTGCAGCTCTTACACAAAACTTTACTATTTGTATGTACTATTCGAGGCTTGCACACGGCTGAGTGGGACTTCACAAATGCTGCTCTTTGATCTATGCAAGTTTCAATATTACATGGTTCATATTGCTTAGTAAGTAATGGGACAAGACATATGAACTCTTAAGTGGTACATACTCTATCAGTGCTGTGGGTTTCATGCTATTAAATAATTAATAGTTATATATATTTCTGTCTATATAGCGTTTGCCCTTATGTGTTTCAGAAGTTCATGCTAATATACGTCGGTAAAAAGAGAAGACAAAGTGTGTACATTTTTATATCGGAATGTATTAGCACGACCTAATATGTAGTGTAAAATACTCATTTGTTTTTTATCTATGGTTGTAGGAGGTGTGTGCGATCTTCTAGAATTGTTTACTCCAATACAAATCTACGGAGCTTTTGCCACCTTGGCTAGACAGTGCTGGACCGTGAATTGAGTGTGTGAAGCACACAAAGCATTTTTAGGCATTTTTTTTTACCGGAAGCATCAAAACAAGTGAAAAAGAAGAGCTGCCTATCGTTCTTGACACATTATGCTGGTTATCTGCAGGCTTTCTTCAGAATATTATCTGGGCTTGACGATAAGATGCACTTGACTATTGTCTTCACAAATGCAGCTACTGCCAAGTTATAGTGTGATGGTCAAATCCTGCAACTTGTCACATTTAAAGAAACAGTCTTCTTTTTTGAACAGCAAATTTTAAGATTTATTTTTTCTGGAAGGATAGCATGCCTGTGTAACATGTGAAAAGGAAAAAGAACAAAAAAGCCTAAATCAGAACACAAGCTGAGCAAAATAGACAAAAGTAGAAAAAAATAACAAGGATGGATGTGACTTGACTTACTGCAAATTGTGGCTAAGTGTATTGGATACATGTGAGAGGGGGTGAATACGCTTAAAAGTGTCGGCCCGATAAGAAACGTTTGTCCTATATCTCAGTGTTGCCCATTACCACGCGCAGGCCGCCGCTGCTTTGCTTAGGCAAGATGGCGGCTGCTGCTGCTTATCCGGCACATGCTTCAACTTCGGCTAGCTCTGCAAGAAACCGGCTTGCTCACGAAAAGTCGCCGTACCTCCTGCAGCATGCCAGCAACCCAGTTGACTGGTAAGCTACATACGACTCCTGTCCTGTTTGAATGTGCGCGAATGGCATCATACTTCAGCAAGAACAAACGCAGAAAGTCGACACAATGTGCACACAGTCCGGTCAGCATTTGGTTGCTATGCCTTTCATTTGGATTGTAAAGGGATTTTCGCAAGTGGGGGGGAGGGGAGGGGGGGAGTTCGCGACTGCATATTACATTTGACAGTATGACTTGTCCTTAGACCGAAAGTGTCGACAAAAGTTGTTGTTTCGACAAGAGGGTTTGTTTCCATCATCTTCATCAGGAAAGTGAAAAGTCCTCATGTTCAAGCTTTGAGACTTTATCTTTTCCTGAAGTTCTTGTTAGCAGTTCTGCCTATTCCATCTTGCGTAATTCACTGTTGCAGAATGACCAATTCTGATAATGGTGGGGTACGATTTAGAGTCAGTTTCAAAGGATGAAAAAGATTTGACCCGGAATAGAATGATATTCTCACCTTATCAAATGGACTATAAAAGTAAAAAATATTCAGTAAATCTATACCTACAGTGCTGTCAATATGCACTAATACATAGCATTCAACAGTAACATGTATTCTGTGGATATCAACCACTTCGGAAGTGTCAGCTTTCTGCATTAAAAGCAAACACTAATAGCATTGAAAGAAAGCCAGTGCGATACACTTAAAAAATTGCTTGAAAAAGTAAAAAAAAAATTGATAGTTATCAATATGTACTTTTCTACATATGGACAGATTTTATATCTCCTAACATACAAATAACCTGTCAAACCACAATCAATTAAATGTTGATCACTGTAGGTCACAGCATTAAAAAAGAAAGACTGTACAGTGCAGTGGTTTGATCATAAGGTGCACCTTATATGCAACCAATATCATGTGTTGTGCTTAAGATAGTCTATGATTACAATGGTAAAGATTGCATAAGGCAAATGACGTCTGGTTGAATTCAGACATGCACCACCACCTCACACAGTTTTTGGTGCAGCACTTGGATGTTATGCTCTGTTAATGACAGAGTTCAGGGAAAGAATGAGACTTAAAGTGGTCCATATTTTCGAAGTAGTAAATATTCAATAAAGAAGGCAAAATAGCTACCAATATGAATAGGATAGCTAAAATAGCGGAGGAGTTTTACAGAGATCTGTACAGTAGCCGGGACAACCACGACCTTAATACTACAAGAACTAGCAGTAACCCAGACGACACCCCACCAGTAATGATAGAAGAAGTCAGAAAAGCTTTGGAGAGCATGCAAAGAGGCAAAGCTGCTGGGGAGGATCAGGTAACATCAGATCTGCTGAAAAATGGAGGACAGATTGTGTTAGAAAAACTAGCCACCCTCTTTACGAGGTGTCTCTTGACGGGAAGAGTACCAGAGTCTTGGAAGAATGCTAACATCATCTTAATACATAAGCAAGGAGGTGACAAGGACTTGAAGAATTACAGGCCGATCAGCTTGCTTTCTGTGGTATACAAGCTATTTACAAAGGTAATTGCTAACAGAGTAAAGAAAACATTAGAATTCAATCAACGAAAGGAACAAGCAGGATTTCGAACAGGCTACTTAACAATCGACCACATTCATACTATCAATCAGGTAATGGAGAAATGCTCAGAATATAACTTACCACTATACAAAGCCTTCATAGATTACGAGAAGGCGTTTGATTCAGTAGAAATATCAGCCGTCATGCAGACACTGCGGAATCAGGGCGTTGATGAAATATATATAAACATCCTGGAAGAAATCTACAGGTGATCAACTGCTACCATAGTGCTTCATAAATAGAGCAATAGAATACCAATCAAGAAGGGTGTAAGGCAGGGGGACACAATCTCCCTAATGCTATTCGTCCCATGCTTACAGGAGGTTTTCAGAAGCCTAGAATGGGAACAGTTAGGGATAAGAGTTAATGGAGAGTACCTTAGTAACCTGCGCTTCGCCGCTGATATTGCATTGCTGGGTAACTCGGGGGATGAATTGCAACTTATGATCACCGAGTTAGACAGGTAAAGCAGAAAGGTGGGTCTTAAAATTAATCTGCAGAAAACGAAAGTAATGTACAACAACCTCAGCAAGGAGCAGCGCTTCGAGATAGGTAGTAGTGCACTTCAAGTTGTAAAAAACTATGTCTACTTAAGGCAGGTAATAGCCGCGGAGCTGAACCACGAGATTGAAGAAACTAGAAGAATAAGAATGGGGTGGAGCACATTTGGCGAGCACTCTCAAATTATTACAGGTAGATTGCCACTATCCCTCAAGAGGAAAGTATATAACAGCTGTATGTTGCCGGTACTTAGCTACGGAGCAGAAACCTGCAGACTTACAAAGAGGGTTCAGCTTAAATTGCGGACGACGCAGCGAACAATGGAAAGAAAAATGGTAGGTGTAACCTTAAGAGACAAAAAGAGAGCAGAGTAGATTAGGGAACAAACGGGGGTTACGGATATCATAGTTGAAATCAAGAAGAGAAAATGGACATGGGCCGGGCATGTAGCACGTAGAGTATAACCACTGGTCATTAAGGGTAACTAACTGGATTCCCAGAGAAGGCAAGCGAGTTAGGGGGAGACAGAAGGTTACGTGGGCAGATGAGATTAAGAAGTTTGCAGGTATAAATTGGCAGCAGCAAGCACAGGACCAGGTTAATTGGCGGAACATGGGAGAGGCCTTTGTTTTGCAGTGGACGTAGTCAGGCTGATAATGATGATGATGAAATATTTGATGAACTCATTATCAGAGTTTATGGCCTCACAAACCGATTACTGCAAAAATTTCTCATATCTTTTGAGGCCGAGGGGAGTTAAAGGGATTTGAGGCATGCTCAAAGCACTTCCCCTCTTCTCAAGAACTGGTGAGTTTGCAGGAGGTACACATGTAGGGAGGACACGAATAAATGATCAGTTATGTCAGCTGGTGTCACAACCTTGGGCACACGTGTTGTTATTCAATCACTCTATCTGCTTGCGATTCCTGTGTGCATCATTGTAGTCATTGTGTAATTATTTATTTATTTATTTATTACATACCTGCATCGCCCGAGTGGGCATTACGGCAGGGAGGTTACAGTCCAAAAGAAACAAAGTAATTGCACCCTCAATGCACAGTAAAGCATGTCATTGTTCAAATTGTTCTCAATGTCAAATGATACAACATTCCATTCTCTTGTGGCCCGTGAAAAAAAAAAAATTTATGTCCGTCACCTCTGAGAGAGAATTTGTTGGCTGAGTGCATGGTCGTGTTTAAATGACACATAAGTGGGTAACCTAATATACCTTTCTTGCTCAATGCTGATTTCAGGATGGTAAACGGCACAAAAAAAAATTCAGTCTGAGGCCATTCCACTGATCTTGCAAAGCCTGCCATGATTATTTACGTTTGCTTTTTGTCATGCTTAACGTTCTAATGCAATTGTTGAGTACAAACCGTACTCAACAATTACAGTAGAACATTTTCCAATATTTGAGTATACACGTGTTTCGCAAGTTATTTTGTTTTACTTTTTCCTTCATTATTCATATGATGTATGTGTATATATATATATATGTGTGTGTGTGTGTGTGTGTGTATGTATATATATATATGTGAATCCTATGCGCATGCATATCAGTATATAACTGCGCATTGTACATTTTAATGTACTTGAAGTGCCTAATATATTTATTTTCATTTTTTTGTTTTTTCTTCTTCTCTGGCTTTGTTTTACTTTTTGTTTCGTTTTTGTCCTTGTTTTTCTTTTTCAATTTTTTTTCTTTTTTTCCTCGTTACTTATCTTTAGCAAGTGTATAATTAGGTACATTTGACCTTGTAGTGCACCTGTGCCCGTAGTGAATGCACTATGATATTAATTTGAAACTATTTAGCGACTATTATTATGCATTTTCCCCCCACATTTATCAGGTGCTGTACCCTATTGTTTCACCACCGATGGGTGGCTGGGGCTTTGTCAAGCAGTCATTGGACAGCTTTTTTTCCCGGCCACCTTTTTTCACCGTAAATGTTTTTGTTTTTGGTGAAAATAAAGTTCTTTGATTGATTGATTGATTGATTGATAATAGAGCATGGTGCATAGCACGTGGCGGCACCTCATGGTGAGAAGTGCATCGAATCGATATGCCACTCATGATTTACATGGGCCATTCCCCAATAGTGCGCTACTTGCTGCTTGATGTCAAAACATCGGGTGCTTTCAGCTCGGTTCTGAATAGAGGTCGCCTGGAAAAAATAGACGCTTCGCATTTCACTTCTCAACCTTCCTTGCCACGCACGAATGCGAGATTTGGACGAGCTGTTCTTCAAAGTGTCTTCTTTCTGCAGGATTTTTCCTCGCCTAGTCCGAAGCGTGGTTCACGAATCGTTGAGCAGGGAATGTGGCTGAAGCCAGTGTTTCAACGAAAATGCTTGTTTTCGTCAGGGCAGCAACTGACAGTGTGGTTGTCTTTGCCTTGGTCAATCTCCCCCAGTCACAAACACAAACTGCTTTCGATTTGTGTTTGAGTCAGGTATTGACAAGAAAAAACTTTGTGAGCTGTAGTAGTTACAAATTCATCGGGTTATTTGTAGGTACCCTTGGGGCGATGCTGCATTCAAGAAGGCCAAAGATGAGGATAAGCTCATTTTCTTGTCTGGTGAGTTGGATATTCGGCTGCTTCTCTTCTGCGCATGTTGACTGGCAGTTCGATTGAATCAGCTTGGACAGCGAACTTGGTACTGCTATCATAATCTAGAATCGTTTTTCATTTCTACCTACTGTATTTACACAACTGTAGGTCGACCCGCTCTATCTTAAGTTAATATTCGAAGTTGGGGTGTCGACGAAGAATAGGAAAATGGTTTTGGTTGTCTCTCTAAAAATATGCCTCACGTGTTTTTGCGAAGTTAGCTTTCTTGCGCAGCTCGCAATCACTGCCGTGAGGCCACTTTCAACTTAGTTTTTTTTTTTAGAGACATTCTTGTGCTGCTCTCTCACCTTTCTTTAATTGCCGTGCGATTTTAGAGGGGTTGACCAAGTTAACATACAATTGTGTAAGTGCGGTATAAACCACGAGTAACAAAATTTTTTTTATCTTTTGGAAAAATGACCTATATATAAATATATTGTAGGGAACTATGCGAACAACGACGAAGAAGCAAGAAATGGCAAGCCACAGCGTTGGTGCACACGCGCGACTCGAGCTTGCGCTTGTTTTGTATTTTCGGCCTGTTGACGTTCCTTGCTCTTCTGGCGTTCCTTGGCCTTCCAGGAGGTCTATACGTAAATAAACTACGTGACATTGTGGAGGTACTGGGTACTTCCGTACAAACCTGGAACTTCGCTCCCGTAAGCTTCCCCGTCTACGTGACACGAACATAGCCACCGAGACGACTCTCCAGGCGGGACCTTCGACCGTCCACGTCACTTGCGGCGCCGTGTATCCTCAACGAGACCCTACTATCTTCATGGGCTCCACTGAGTCGGATGTCGAAGATTGGTTGGCGAGGTATGACAAAGTCGGCACAAGTAACAAATGGGACGACCCAAGTAAGCTGGGCTACATCACGTTCTACCTTGCGGACACCGCGCAACTGTGGTTTAATAACCACGCAGCTGACATTCCTACGTGGTCTGCATTCAAGACTGCTATTACGGACGTCTTTGGACGACCTGCGGCACGCAAGCTTCAAGCCGAGCACCGTTTACGTTACCGTGCGCAGCAACCAGGCGAGACCTACACGGGCTACATTGAAGATGTGTTGCATCTATGCAACCGCGTCAACTCTACCATGCCTGAGGAAGAAAAAATCGGGCACATTTTGAAAGGCATTGACGACGACGCCTTTCAGATGTTGCTCGCGAGAAATCCCCCCACAATTGCTGTGCTTGTTTCTCTCTGTCAGAGCTTCGATGAGTTGCGTAGGCCGCGCGCAATTGCTCGTCTAGCCCTCACGACGCCAGACATGCTCGCAAGCTTGCACCTAGCTGCCCATCCTACCGATCAGCAGCCGCTGCTTTCAACAATCAAGGACTTCGTTTGCGAGGAGGTAGCGCGCCAGCTGTCACTGCTGCCACTGACACATGAGCCCGTGCAAGCTTTGGCACCGGACCTCCAACACGCCATTCGAACCCAAGTCGCTGAGGCCCTTCCACCGATGCATCAGCGACCACCTGTCACTACGCCTCTCACGTATGCCATATGCTCAACCTGCCACGCCGCCCTATGTCGTGCCTACAACCACAATTGCTGCGCCGTATCCCTATGCGAGATCTTCAGCTCCATCTTACCGTCGAGCAGACGCTAGGAGGACGCCGGATAATAGGCCCATCTGTTTCGCCTGTGGTATCGCTGGACACGTCGCCCGCCACTGTCGCCGAGATCCCCCTCCAGTTGACACCGTGGGCAGGCCAATTGCGTCGTCGTCTAGGACGTCATCAAGGTACACCACTGACGGTCATCGACCCTTCGCAAACCATCGGTCATTATCGCCCCGACAACGCTCCCTGTCACCTATGCGTCGCCGACCTGCTACGGAAGAGGGAAACTGATCGCTGCAGCTCCGGAGGCAAGAGCTGCATACCATTCGAACTGCTTAAGGCCTCCATCTTTCTTGCCGCAAACCGTTATCGACGTCAATATTGAGGGGACCGCCGCACAAGCTCTTATCGACACAGGAGCCGCCGTTTCCATAATCTGTGAGACCTTATGCCGCAAGTTGAAAAAGGTGACGACGCCTCTTTCGGGCCTGATGCTCCGCACGGCCAACTCGCAGTGCATAGAACCTACAGCTGTGTGCACTGCACGTGTCATTATCCAAGATGAACTTTATGCCATCGAATTTTTTGTGCTGGCATCATGCTCCCACGAAGTAATTCTTGGATGGGACTTTCTTTCGCGTCATCGGGCCATCATAGAATGCTCACGTGCAGAAGTTGCCCTTACACCGCTACCTTACACCGCTATCTTGTTTGGTAGATTCTCTTTCTGAAGCTTACAAACTTGTCGTTGTTGCAGACACAGAAATAGCACGGAGAACATCCACCCTTGTAGCCCTGACCGGTACGGCCGCTCCTGCCGGAACTGTTTTGTTCACTCCGTTTGACGTATTTACCCGCCGCCGTAGCCTACACCTGCCCTTTGCCATACTCAATGTGGAATCCGGTGCTACCGCCATGCTCGTTGCGAACTCGCTATCGTCGCCAGTTACCTTACTTCGTGGAGAATGTTTGGGTAACATACAAGACGTTGACCTCTTGCGCCCTCTGGAGTTTGCTGAACACCCACCTGACCTCCAGCTCAATGCTATGACGGCACCTGTGGCCACACTGCCCGCGCCAGACTGCCATCCAGCCATCGCAGAGCCCTTGGTCGTCCCCTGTTGTACTTGTGCGCAAAAAGGATGGGTCTATCCGATTCTGTGTCGACTACCGCCGGCTCAATAAGATAACTCGGAAGGATGTGTACCCATTGCCACGCATCGACGATGCTCTCGATCGCTTGCAAGGAGCAGAATATTTCTCCTCTTTAGATTTACGCTCAGGATATTGGCAAGTTCCAATGGCTGATCCTGACCGATTGAAGACTGCATTTGTAACACCTGATGGGCTGTATGAGTTTAACGTCATGCCGTTTGGACTCTGCAACGCCCCAGCTACTTTCGAATGGATGATGGACACCATCCTTCGCGGCTACAAGTGGAACACGTGCCTCTGCTACCTAGACGACATTGTCGTTTTTCTCACGACTTTTCGACTCACCTTGTTCGTCTTCGTGCTATTCTCACGTGTCTCACCTCTGCTGGCCTACAACTCAACATCAAGAAGTGCCATTTTGCCGCACGTCAGCTCACTATACTGGGTCACGTCGTCTGCAAAGAGGGTGTTCTCCCAGATCCGGCGAAACTCCGTGCCGTGGCCGACTATCCGAAGCCCAATTCCATGAAGACGCTTCGAAGTTTTATCGGCCTGTGCTCATACTTTCGTCGATTTGTGCGGAACTTCTCTTCCATCATCGCGCCTCTTACCAACCTGTTGACAACTTCCAGAGGCATTCCTGCTTGGTCAAAAGAGTGCGATGAATCCTTCACCGCGCTTCAGCGGTTATTATCATCACCTCCAATACTACGTCATTTCGACCCCGATGCGCCTACGGAGGTCCACACCGACGCCAGTGGTGTCGGTCTTGGTGCTGTATTGGCTCAACGGAAACCAGGATACCAAGAATGCGTGGTCACTTACGCGAGTCGAACCCTCAAGAAAGCCGAGTGTAATTATTCCGTCACGGAGAAAGAGTGCCTCGCAATTGTCTGGGCTTTGACCAAGTTCCACCCATACCTTTATGGCCGTCCTTTCGAAGTCGTTACAGACCACCACGCTCTATGCTGGCTATCATCGCTCAAAGACCCGTCGGGGCGCCTTGGTCGTTGGGCGCTTCGCCTACAGGAATACGACATTCGTGTTGTATACCGATCCGGCCGCAAGCACTCCGACGCTGATGCCCTATCCCGCTCGCCGCTGCCGGCTGACCCAACCTCCTCGTCACCTTCTTCAGCTGTCATAACACCAATCGACTTCACAGACATGTCATCGGAACAACGCAAGATGTGTGGATTTCCCAACTCCTCACCTTTCTGACTAATCCGTCAGCTAATTTGGTCTGAAGAACTATTCGCCGTCAAGCCACACATTTCGCTATTCGAGACGACCTCCTCTATTGGTGGAATCACACGTCTGAAGGTCGGAGGTGGCTGTTAGTGATATCCAACCACATGCGTTTGGAAATCTGTACAGCTTTTCACAACGACCCGCAAAGCGCTCACGCCGGCGCTCTCAAAACGTACAACCGTCTACGTCAGCGGTACTACTGGGGCGGCATGTACGCATTTGTTCGCAAGTACGTACGTGCTTGTACTGCATGCCAGCGACGTAAAGCCCCACCTCAACGCCCTGCCCGTACACTTCAGCCTCTGCCTTGTCCAGCGCGTTCATTTGACCGCGTCGGTATCGACTTATACGGACCACTTCCCACATCGTCTTCTAGAAATATGTGGATAATTGTCGGCGTGGATCACCTCACGCGTTACACGGAGACGGCAGCACTACCCGCAGCAACCGCGAGGGAAGTTGCGTTTTTCATCTTGGGCAACTTCGTTCTTCGCCATGGACTTTTGAGCGACCGGGGGCGTGTTTTCTTGTCTGACGCCATTCAAGCCTTGCTCGCTTAGTGCAACATGGTTCATCGCATGATGACAGCATATCACCCGCAGACGAATGACCTCACAGAACGATAGTCGCACTCTCGGTGATATGTTGACGATGTACACAGCTTCAGACCAGATCAATTGGGACACTGTCTTTCCATTCGTCACGTATGCGTATATCACCGCTATGCACGCGACAACAGGGTTTTCCCCTTTCTTTCTGTTGTACGGACGCGAACCATCGTGCACGCTGGACACTATCCTGCCATACACGCCCGACTGCTCTGAGTACACTGCAATTTCTGATGTTGCCAGGTACGCAGAAGATTGCAGACGATTGGCCCGTTCACTGACAACCGAGGACCAAGGCCACCAGAAGCTACGGCGTGACACCGACCGACATCTCTCTACTTTCACGACTGGTGCTCTTGTTTGGCTCTGTATTCCATCGAGT